AGGTTGGCATTGCTTTTGTGAAATTACCATTTTGACAGTATCTTAAAGTAGAAGGAAGAGAAGATGCTTACGGAACAGAGCTGCATTTCCCAACAGCAGATTTCAACTTTAACCAAAGTTCTAGGAGGGGAAAAAAAAAAAAAAAAAAAAAAAAAAAAAGAAGTTTTTAAATATCTTCCAATTCCAGTGGCCTTCACCTCCTGAGATGGAGGTCAGTGGGCTTTTCCTCTGGAGTACTGACCCAGCTTTCACCACAGTAGTTGGACTAAAGCATCTTCAATCTATATGCTCCAAAGGAATTCTCCTAGTTTCTCTCCTGAGGGAGACTACATCGATCCTGTAAACTGAAATACTTGCACACAAAGAAATCCTCTGAGCTGTGCTGGCCATACACATTCACATTGCATGTGACTTTTTTGCTGCACAAGTCTTCTTGTGTGTTTGTTCAGTATTTCAGCCAGTAGGACTTGCATGGCTTGCAATTTACCACAGTTACACAAACACTGCATAAAAATTTGAAGCGTGCTAATTACCACTTAAAAATCCTTCTACAAAATTTCAAGACTGTCTACTGGGTACATAACTCTTTTTCTCCTTCTAGAATTGTTCCTGTGTCTACTTCTACTGTTGCCTTGGCAGGGCAAGACTGGAGGAGCAGACAATAACTTCATCTACCAGAGGGTACACGAGGCAACACTATTAAGAACTTGCATTTCACAGATTTTCAGGTTCTGGTGACACCACAAGAGATTGTCTTTGAGAGCAACAAAGAAACTTTATTACCAGAGCGAAAGAAGAAAAGTTCTCAAGAAGTTAGTTAGAAAGACAAGCTGCAGCAAGGCATGGAGTGCTTGGTAAGTGCTGGAGTTTCCTCAGCCCTGGAACTAAGTATGTGTAACCGTGTACTAATCATGAGGCTGCAACATGCACTTTTACAGCACAGGTGTCCTAGGCCACATCTGGAAGAAGACAAAACCAAAGACAAAACCAAAGGCAGACCTGGCATGGGCAGAATCTGCTTTGAGTCATCTAAAGGAATATAACTCTTGCATCTTAAAGCCTCAAATACGCACCCTCTTCCTTCATTTCAAACAAGGACTCTTTCTCCAGATTCATCAAATCTGCCAGTACCCAGTATATTGATGCCAGGTGGTACAGCTCTGGGTTTTGCCAAAACACCAGGTCATGGAGTTGGAAAAGGAGATGATAAAGAAGTCAGAGAGCTGCTAAGCTGACAGATTAAACCTGCAATACCATATTCAGAATACCAGAAACCTCTAGTCCACACTGGGCTGGTCAAATGAGACAGAACAGATGCAGTCTGCTTGACTATGCTACGAATTGTTAAGGTTGCAGGAAAGTTGAATAGATGGAAGTTCACAGCAAAGGAAGGTGTGTCAGGGAGTTTTGGTAAGCTTTCCCATCTCTGCTATGCAGCAAGTGGAAGGGGGTCTCACCCATAGGCTAATGGCTACCTGTAACACAGCAGGTAAAAAATACAAATCATCACATCTTCACACAGCAGGTCAAATCTTGTTCCTCTCCATGTATTAACAACATACAGTTTTAACAAAAAGATGCTAGTCAAAAAGTATTCTAAAATATATTTTAGACAAATCCAATTCAAGCGGTTTAATTTAGGCTTCCACATATTGTGATCTTGATGCATTGCAGTCCCTGAATCTAAAGCTGCTAAAACCCAAATATCCAGCACCTGAAACTATGTGCTCTATGTGTCATAACAACAGATTTAGGACAATTTGACAATTGTTTTTGGTCTATTTAGCTACAGTGTGTCAGCTGGGAAAAACACTTTCCAAGACAACTACTGCAGGAGCTGTGGCATGGTGCATTATCTTAGTGCCTGTCAGTACGCACCCAGAAATCTGAGGAAAGTTGTCACCAGGGTTTTAAATTATATGAATGAAGATCTGGCCCTCAAACATCCACCGTGGTCTAGAAAGTCATCAACATTACTTGACTCCTGATTTGAAATCTGTTTCCTTATAAACTGAGGAAATGAAGTGACTGCAAATGAAATCAATCTTTGTTCATTTAGGGAAGTTCTTGAGGCAGTCACCCATGAAGGAATATAATTTAATCTGCAGGTTATACAAACTTGCAGGTAAAAATTGTTAAAATACTAGTGAGTGCTGATAAGTAGAACTCTGTACTAGAAGAGCACGGCTTTGAAGTACAAAATACCACACCCACCCCAACCCTTCTCAAAACTACACAGGCACTGCTGTTAAATACTAAAGGAGTGAGCAGCAAAAACTTGGAAAGATGTAGTAATATTATTATGGATGTTAGGGTAAGCATGAAGATTAGGAGGCAGTGAACAGAACAGCAGGAGTCTCCAGAACTGACCGGAGATGCAGCATTCAGAACTAGAGGAGTAGTTGCCCCAGCTCAACCCAAACCATGGAGATAAGAAATGCTGATGTTCTCCCAACCTGCTGAAAGATCTCCTTTTGCCAAAGAAATCCAGCCTTATACCAGGTCTGCGGGCTAGGTTAGGTAGAGGCAGAGGAAGTGCTTGCAGGTGCCTGAAGAGAGCATTTCCTCTTAGGTGACTTTGTTACCAAATCTACAGCCTAGAAGGCAGTGGTAGTAGCCGACTTGGGTATGACATCGTGAGCAAAAGCCAAGACTGATACCAAGTCACAACTGGGGAACACCAAGGTGAGTGCAGAGAGAACACAAATCTAAAAACAAGTAATGAAGGTAACAGTCCTCGTGAAAGAAAGCTGTCAGCACCTGGAGCTGGAACTGCTGGTTTGCCATGAAAGGCCATAAGAAGACGTGAGTGTCTGGGGCCCATGACAACAACAGAATGCCTTGCTTCCCTCCTGACAGGCCCCTCACCATCCTGGTCTCTACAAGGACACTGCTCAAAGCTGCAGAATGCTGATACCAAGGAAGAGTGAGGCAAGTTTCCTTTGGGTTTCTTAGAAGAAGCAGTGAGTGAAGAAGGAGGCAGATGGTTCTTACAGGATCATTTCAACCTCCCCTCTCTATCCTCCTAGTATCCACCTTCTAGCCAGAAGAGATGCAGTTGCAGTTGAAAGAGATGTGTCTTGAACTACACAGCAGGCAGTCCATTACCACAGATTAGTATTCAGCTTTGATAACATGACCCTCAACCAACCTATTTTCTTAAGGCCCCTGGCAAGGAAGAAATGAAAAGAAAGCCAGAGCGACAAAATTACCATAGAAAATGTCAAAGTAGAAACAAACAGAACTAGTGACACTAAAACTGTAATCAGCATTTAATTTAAATGGAAAAGGCTCATACATAACAAAAGGTTTCATATTACTTACAGCTGTGAAGAGATTTTGAAGGGTCTGCAATTTTTTTTTTTTTAATCAAGCATACACAGAGAATTCTGGTTTCAGAAAAACCAAGAAGGTTAACAATTTGGGGCTATAAGTACACTCTAGGTTGCACAGACTCTGGAGCAGGAAAACTGGGCAAAAATTTATTCTAACATAAGTTACACAGCATGATACAAACCCTCAGGTTAGTCTTCTAACCTCTCTTCAGTGTTTAACATTAATTAAAATTAAAGTTAACATTTTATTAATAGTGAAAGACCGAAATCAGTATTTGGAAAGCATTCCACAAAACTTTTAAAATGTTCATATTCACTGACAAGGAATTATTCCTGTGTGACTTCTGTAATGAAAATATTTACTAAAAGTTCTATATAAAAATACCTTTAACAAAAGTTTTATTAGCATTAGTTATAGACACATTACAAAACTCAAAAAATAATTATATTTAATGAAAAGAGGATGAAACATCCTACATGCTATTTCATAGAAGAAACCTAATTTGTTCAAGGATAGAAAACCAAGTCTAATATCAGAGGTGAGTCTGCCAAGGTGGTGTCTTCTACCCACTGTGGACTGTATTATTGCACCTGAGGACTCTCCAGTTCCCCTGGTGCTGCTTCTTACCTATTACATACTGCATTTTTATATTCTTCATCCGACAACAAGCAGCGTCAGTAACTCCTCTGCAAAATCCTAGTACGCCAACAGCGCTGTCCAAGAGCAACACCCAGAGGCTGAATATACTGCTACAGCAACACTGTGCATTCTGACCTGTTTCTTTCTGAGGAGCATTGAAAACTTTCATAATGATTATCTTTACAGGAAATTGTTGTTTAAGAGCTGACAAAACTCTTTCAATAGTAACAACAACAAAATGTTGGAGGTGAACAAACCTGGTCATGAAAATCACACCTTTATAGCTACCGCAAACAACATTTGAGAACAGATGACATATACACTTAGTGATGTTGAGCAAATAAGCAGTAGTCTTTGTTAATGTGTGTGTATAGTATTTTGGTTGGCATCAGCACTGCAAAGTAGCAACTAGAAGGATGACTGCTCTCTAGAAAGCCAATTCCATTTTTCAAAGGCAGAAAGACATAAAAGAGGAAGGGTGCTCACCATTTCTTTCACCAGTTCTCAAAGCATTTCATTGGGTTTTTTCCTTAAATCCTGAAGGCAGCTGCTGTGGGAACAACTTGTCTATGCAATAATAACAAAACTCCAGCAAAAAAAGTAATACCCTAGAGCATCTTTAAGAAGAATATGTTAACTGGAATCCGAGCATGAAGAGGGATGGAAAACTGGGTACAAAACCAACTCACTAAAGCTTCATCTTAAAGATCTCTGGCATCTAACAAGACTAATCTCTGTAAATTTAAAGCCTACACAGAGAAAAAGGCTGACAAACTAAGAATACAATCACTAACATCATACTTATCTCCCCAAACACTTAATTAGAATAAAATGTACTTAAAATAAAACACAGTGAAGACTGTATAATCACAAAACATGATTGCACCTACCTAACCTTCTATATTTTGAGATTTAAGATCAGGCCAATGATTTCAAAACCAAACAAAACCACAAGTCTCAATCAAACACCTGATGGAAAAGTTTCTCATCTGTTAAGCAGAGTTTGCTCCATTCTCCTCAGTTAATCACTTTTTTTTTTCCTCATCTGTTTTCTCATAATCATGTTTTTCACGTGGCTCATACTCTTCACCTGGTTGCAGTGAAACTGGAATTGCATCAACTGCAAGGAAGCAATCGTTCCTCAGCACCTGCTCAGGATCAGTCTGTTACAGCAGAACAAATTCAAGAGAAGAGATTTAACTTTATCATCCTATAGAGGGAGAAGGATTTAATCAGTAAGCAAAACAAACTCGATTACAAATTAAAACCAAGCATTTAATGAACACATCTTCTAAGTGCTTAGGGCTCAAAGCCTTCACAAGATGTGCCATAACACTCCCAACAGACAGCAGCACTGACAGTCATAATGCTCATTAGCAACAAAATACAATCAAATGTTCAGCGCTAGGTCTGTCAACCTGGTGCCAGTAGATTTCACAGAAAGCATGAGGTTTTGAAATTTTGAATTATAAATTCACTGAGCCACTATAAATTACAGAAATGCTCAAACCGGTCTTTCTACTGAGAAGGAACAAAACAGGTGCCATTCACCTTCTATAACTTCATCTTTTAATTTTTGTCATATTGTTTCATCTCTCTACCGGAGCACAGGGGGAAAAGAAAACCAAAGTACTGGGCTCTAAGTCAACAGCAGCTATTCTGCTATTTACCCATCACTTACACTTAGGCTCTTTGGATTTATCAGAAGGGATTACACGCCTAAATACTTAGCACATTAACAGCACTAGACTCCATAGACACAACACAAATCCACAGCTGCTACACATACGCATAAGCATGAGCTGTTGGGGAAGAAAGAGAACACAATGGATTTGGACAAAAGGACTACAAGAAAGACAATCTCACATTCTGATCTAGACATCTAGATTACTAAACCTCAACTGGAACAGAATCTTTCCATAGGAAGGCTTGCTTGTTCACAGTCTCCAAGCCAGCAACTCCTCTGACCAGGGTCAATATTAACAGCAAGGCATAAGAGACCTGTACACCTCTCACCTATCCCTCTTTCACCCAGACAGAAGAATCACTGTGATGCAAAGGAATGTACACAATTAGTCAAAAACTCGAAGACAGAAACAAGCAATTGCTAATTCTTTCACTAACTATCAGAGTGACTCTGGAGAATTAGTCACTCCCCAAATAATCTGAAATCTGGGTTAAAAGATGGGATCTGAAAACTGTTGATCTGGCAGGCATAAAGAGTTGTTCAGTTTCTGTAAAATATTTTAAATACTCAAAGGAAAATCTCTAGTTAAGGGGATGTGCAATGAAATACAGGAGTGAAGAATGACGACATACTTCCTCTGTAAAATAAAGTGAGGAAAATCTGAGCACTTGAAGAGCTTGAAAAGCTTTGTACTTGTGTATTTGCATTTCAAGATACTGTCAAATGTCTATCAACAATAAATATCACCTTCTCACACTGAGGAAACTGAAAATTGATTCCGCAAGGAATACTGCTGTAGGACAACATTTCATCTTGTTTACTCCATTTCATTTTGTTTGATCTTACTTCCTTTTTTTTTTAACACACTGAACGTTGAAGGCTGACATAGTTAAATGAGTGGCTGCAAGACCTTTTCACTAAACATTGCCTTTCCTCAACAGTTACCTAACATTAATATCCCTGTTTTAAAGCTTTATGTTATTTTCCTGTGGCAGTTTTGCATTTGTTGAAAACAACAAAAATTTTACTGGTTGCAAGTGTGCAATTCCTCTGGGCACGAGATTGAGATGGAAGGGAAATTATGGTCTGTCAAGAGCCTACAGATGGGCACGGAGATTAATTCTGAATAAGCTGATTATAGATAAAGCACTTTAAAGCAAAATAGATTTTCCCCAAGAACTGGGACAAGGATTAACAGCCAGAGGTCTAAAAGATTCCCCAAGAAACAGCTGAAAGATATTTATTAGTACTACATTTCTTAGTAAAACCCTCATCTGTATTCCTGAGCACTGTAGGCAACACAGATTGCTTACTGGTGGACTTCAGTGGTGAGGCACGTGCATGCACACGCATGCAGGATGAATCCTTTAAAACAAAGTAAAAATCCAGTGCTACTTCTTTTCATCAGGAAAAAAAAGAAATTAGCTCTTATTAAAAGCTGTAAAATTAATTTATTCCTGCTAAAAATAATACCAGCTAAATTAATTGTTCTTGAAACAAAAGCAGCTGTTTGCTCTACAGAAGAACACAGAAATATAATACCCTGAAACCGGCCATTTAAACTTTGATTTGTATCCTTCAGACTTTGTTTGTAAAGCATTATCACAGCACAAATTTTATGGAAAACAGAAGTGAACCAACTAGTTTTAATGTCCCAAGAAATCTCTCCTAATTCCTTGAACAATTAAGTTTCCCTTAAACATGAAAGAAAGTTGGGGAGTTTTAGTATCTAAGGATTATTATGCTTAATCCTGAATGCTGCACTGGGCAGATGGCTCTGTACAAATTTTGTGAAATACATTTAAGACCCCCTAGCTGGCCCTAATGTTCAGTAATGAAGTACTGAATCTTCTTTCCTATAGTATTGTGTGTTTCATGAGATTCACTTAATTTTTAATTAAAAAAAAAAAATCAGGCAACGGTAATGAGCTTCAAGATAGACAGCTACAGGATCACCTCCCTGTTCAAATGCTGCATGTTTTATTTTTCTATTTTCCATGGTAGTGTCCCATTGGAAACAATTTTGCAGAAGTATTTGGTAGACAGTCCTGTGCGTTATCAGTAATGTTTTCAGCACTGGAGAACACTGTCAAAGTGAAGTTGTTAAAAGACATACTGTAGAGGAGTCATCTAATAAAGCAAGATTATTTGCAGTACTGTGTTACACAGTGATACACAAACTACCCTGCCAGGACGCTGGAGCCATTATAGCTGTGTTAGTCTGGTGCTGTATCATGACAGTTTCTTAACCTAAAGACAGTAAACAGGTTACACTAAGCTCGTAATGAACACAACTCCAGTAATTCAACTCCATCTTAAACAGTCATCTCTGTAAAGCTGGCAAATCATCAATACCCAAGTTACCAAGAAAGAGGGATTTATTATTTGGTCTTAATTCCTGGCCAGAAGACTGAAAGATTATGAGAATGACAGTTACACAAGAAAATAAACCCAAGGAAATACAAGCACTCAAGTAAAGGATGCCCAGAGATGAGGATATAAAATTGAGTGCTTAACCAAGAGAAAGATAAGTTCGTGAAAGATCAGCTTCAGAGTTGGAGAGCCAAGTTGTGAAGCATGAAGGTGCACAGATCTTAATCTCAAATAGTCACTGGGACACTGGAATAGGATAAGCTTCAAAAAAAAGAGTCTGAAAACAGAGTTCAAGGGGAAAATAGTTGCTAGCATAAGGTAGACAGAGAATAACAGTATTTAGAGTAGAAAGAATGAAAACAGCGACACAAATTTGTATTATACAGGGTTCACTTATATATGTGGATTTGTTTCAGAGGTATAGGAAAACTTGTTTCACAAAAAAGAAACCTCATCCAAAGAATAAAGGGGCACAGTACAGTTCTTCAACTGCATTTAAGTGATTAAAATGGAATTTGGTGGTTTTATTAATGCTCAAGCACTGTGCAGTCATTATGTAGTAAGACAGATGAACAAAGTCAACTTCCTCACTTCAGACAAAAATAGATTTCTAATTCAAACACCTTCTTTGAGGCTGAATCTCAATGACTTATTCCCCAAGTCTGTATATTGGTGTCATTCAGCTAATGGTGAAGAAGTTGCTCCTTCTGAGGTCTGAGATAAATATTAAGAAAACTTGGGGGTTTTCTACCTTCTCAGTCATCATTTTATTTCTGCATTCTATCCAGAATTATGCAAATAGTCAATTAAGAACATTTCTCAACCCAGCACTTAAAATGAAATATTTGACTTTAAAATTTGATCAGCAACTTCTAAGCAAGAGCAGTCTTATCTTCCTCATCTGACAATTGACATACCATGGCAACCACATCTACCTCAGGTGTTCCATCTTCTTATATGCCAAACTCCTGGTTTTGAATGCAAAGCTGTAATAACACTGGTGGGTTTTTCCCCTTTAGTTAGGAAAATCAAACATCAGTCAAGGAGATTCATCAGGTTTCAAATGAAAATGGATTACTACAATAAAATGACAGGCAAAGACTTTTCTAATTTTAAAGTAGGGTAAAACATGCAAGGTGCTCAAGTTTCCCCTTACACAGAAACAAGAGGGAAAAAACAGTATCAGAAGAAACTTTTAGAGGTCAAAAGAAACAGACATTTAAAAATATGACTCAAAAGTACATGCCCAAGTTATGTGTTTAATTACATGATCCTCTTTAAGAAATGTTGAGGGGTAAGTGCACTCTAACAGACAAATGTGAACTCTGTACCCATAAACCAAGAATAATCCCCCCAGTCTTTACTGTTGCACAGAAGCCTGTATGAGTACAGCACTTTCCAGACACTGCCAGCAGGTTAAGCTGAAAATCCCTCCCCTCTGAACAATTACACAGACAGCAAAAGGAAGCATGTGTTTTGTCAGTGCTGGGCTCTCAGGACACAGATCAGCAGAGAACTCAGAAAAATCACTGTCTCCATTTTTGAAGTGTCACTGCTGCTCAATGAGGGAGAACACAATTTCAGATGCCTAGCATGAAACTGGCAACTGCTGAATGTGATACTAACACTTGAGCTAGAATTTTCCATCAAAGGTGATGCAAGACCAAGGCTGAGCTGAAGAATAGCTACATGCGGGGCAATCTGAAATTCAGCTGGCAAATTTGGATGAGCCTTCAGAGTGCCAATTGTGCTGCATCCCAGATAGTCCGGGATTCAAGCAGAATCAGTCATTTGTTTCAGTCTTTATTTCTTTGGGGGTTTCTGTTTGGTTGGGTTTTTTTTTTTTTGCTTTTTTGATTTTTTTTGCTCTCACTTCTACTTACAAAACCCTTTAGAACAGATGAAGATCTGAATAATGGTAATAGAAGTGTTCTAACTAAATCCTACAATGTTAATAAATTATAAACATCTACAACTTCCAGCTACACTTTAGCTCATCTATTTCATCACTTATTCATCCGAGTAGAAAAATTACTTAATTTAAGCAACAGTTTCCTAAATTGGGAATAAAGCATAATGAAAAGTGACTTGTATATGAATCAGCTTCATCTTCTCAACCCAGGTAATTGACAGTGGCTACCGCTCAACTTGCACTATTAGGAAGTGTTTTTAAAATGCAGCACAGAGGGCATTACTGAAGCCATTCCTGTGCAGATGAAAGAACTGCCAGTATTTCCCAGGAAGACCCCCATATACCTGGAGCTCCAGCTGATACTCAGTGAACCAGTTCCAGTCTATTAACTGCTCGTGCAAAATCACTGCATGGGAACATAAGCACTTGCTGGGTAGCTTGTGGCTTTTCAAGTTTGGGAGCTTTGAACTTTTCCCATTGAGAACACATGGCACTGCCAGCCTGAGTTGGGGAGGCAGCAACAGAGTGACAGAAAACAATAAGGGCATGGAGGAGATGCTGTCCAACATACCACCTAATAAAGGAAAGTGCTGCTTTCTCTTCCCTGGCATACCACACACTAAGAAACTATTAAAGCTCATAAGGCAACAAAGAATACAAATTGTAAAACCACTCAGGTAAGAAAAAATACTTACAAATATATAAAGACATTCAGCACTATTTTGAATTTTATTTAAATTTGAATATTATTTTATTTCTGCCAGCTTTCCTATTTTTTCTTCTCTGCCTTTCTGCTCTTTACCTGGAACTAATTGCTTCCCCACTCCTGGTTTCCAGCATATTTTAGAATTGTCTACTGTCAAAATAAGGGCTATACACCATGTTTCTATCCTCTTCCATGGTAGCAGCCAGCACCAGCTATAGACAGACTGGAGAAGAGTAGTTTGCAGATTGCCAATAGTCCCTGGTAACATCAGTTACCAGCTCCACTTGTGATCACACAGAAGGTACAAGCCCTGAGCATTACTGACACCATTACAGAGAAGGCACACACTGGACCCAGGCTGTGAACCATGGGTGAAACTTTCCTGTTCTATGAGGCAAGCTGCTTATTTCAGCACAGCCCATACCTGCAGGAAGGACTGAAGAGAAGGACAGTCTTCCTCAGCTCTTGTAATTTTCCCAATTGCATCATCTGTAATGAGTCTGACCTTTCAGAAAATTCAGCTGTCCAAAATTTGTAAGGTTCCCCATCTACAACAGTTGGAATTTAATTTTATGTTAAGTGGAAGTTTTTTGATGTCATTTCAAATTCATTATAATCATCAGGATTAGGAATAGCAAAGTTTGTGTGTAATTCTGACTCTGCTATCATACCATGCAACAGTAATCTACTATATCAGGATTAAGAACCAGCTTCTGTATCACAATTCAGAAACTGAACATATTCTCAAACACATATTTTCCTCAGTCTCCTTCCTGGAAACCCAAGAGGATCCCCTAAAACCTAATCACTGAGAAAGGTGTTCCCTTCATTTATGTGACACACCAAATGTTCTAGCCCTTTGCCAACTTGTTTCCCAAATCAAAAGGCTGTTTTTTTTCTTTTAATTAGCTGATCACCAATAACCATAATAGCAACATCATTCATCTACGAGCAACACCAGGTTCTATAATTCATTCACTTTTTTCTCTCATAAGCAGGTACATTTTTCATGTCGCCTCATTATTCAAGAATCTTTTTCCCAATAGGTTTCATTAGTGTATCTCATTTTAAATCCCTCTTGGGAGCTTACTGCCCCTTTACAATGTTCGAGGTACACGTGCAGGTTCCTTTTTCCCTTAAGCATCATCAGAATAATTAATGCATGATCAAACAAACAGCAGTGAAGCTGAAGTGAATATTACCAGTGAAGCTGAAGCAATGTTTAAATTCTTTAGACTTCTCTGAGGGGTAATGGGGAACCCTGAAAACTGGGACATTGACTTCTGTCAAAAAAGGGGAGGCATACACACTATCAACAAAGTTAAAAGTTAAAGTAATTCACAACCACCACAGTAAAAAGAGTTGGACAAAACTTATCATGCTGTGAACAACACCTGTCACCAGAGGGAATAAGTTAAAAGCACGGTGCCATGGCTGGGGACTGAAACAGAAAAATTACTACGTAGTAACTTTTTTTTTCTTTTTTCGTTGCTTGGTTGGTTGGGGTTTTTTGGTTTTTATGCCGTTCAAACTTGACCTCAGGGCTGTGAAACTTCCACATTTAAAGACAAAACTGAATTCAGAAAACCGTTTGATGTAGTTACCACTTACTTGGAATAGACTAAATTAATGTTTCTAAATCAATCTGAAAAACAATAGACAAAAATACCAACACTTTAACATTTTCATACTTCCTCAAAGTTGTTCTTTTCAACCAGCTTCCACCTTATTTTGGCCTTTAAGCTTTTCACAATTTTCTTGACTGATAATAAGTTTTTAATATCAGGTGTTCTATTCAGTCATTCCTCTGCCTGCTGTTTTGGACTAGGAAGAAAAGACAAAAATCAGGAAAAGTTAAAGCTTTCTATTTTGATATGCTTTAGTCCAACTGCCTGGAGCCTATTCGAATTTAGCTTTTCAGGGTCTTTCCCCAGAGAAGAGGGAGTTTACTGTGTTGCATTTTCATTACACTAACAATCTTCTGGAAAACCAACATTCTACTTAGAGCTCAATCCCCTTAAGTCACATACTACTGATTTGTCATGAATCCAGAGATTCCAGCTTCCACTGCTTTATTTTTTAAGGAAGTATCTTTGTATTTAACTGAAATGAAGCATTGGCTAAGGTAATGTAGCAGTGGAAATCTGAAGCTTAAACCCAACCTACCTCTCATCATCAATATACCCCTAGAATTTTCTCATAAAAGATAGAGGCATTTATGAAAAAGTAATTGTGTCAGAAAGGGTTACCTGTAGAGATCAGTGTCATAGAAATAGATAAGGCATAAACACACCTCAGCACTGGCCAAGTATCTGTTTTGTATGACAGTGATCATACTTTGCTCATGATGAACTTTATTCATAACTTTATTGTAAGTATTTATAATTATTCCTTTCTCTGCTTCATGACTGAATTACATAAAGGGAGATTAAATATTGAGAGTCATTCTTCATTTATACATACCAACATTTAAGATGTAAAACCTTTACTGAGAAGTTCCATTGTTAATGGAAAACATAATTTATCAGACTTTTCTCTCTTCTTATGGAGGTTTTAAAAGGGAAGTTAGCAAGTTTAAGAGTTCATCCAAGAGTTTCAATAGAATAAAACTGATTAGCACTTCTACACAGAAGTCCAATTTCACATTCCACGTGCTATAAAAGAATTCTTTTGAGGACACCACAGTTAAATAGATATGGAGCATTAGAACATGCAACCAATGACAGTCACTGGTTCTATCACCAAGAGTAGTCACAAGCAGACTAAACTACTGGTTTGTTGTTAATATGTTGCTACATCAAAGGACAGATGCAACTTTCACTGACGTGACCATTCTCCTGCACAGCAAGGGACTCTCATTGCAGAGACAACGAAAGTATCTCAGCATCAGCAAAAGAGAATGGAGAAAATGTTTATCAGAAAATATAAATAACTGAGAAAAAGGCTAGCACCATCACAGACAAAGATTATCAGTGAGGCAAGAACACTTACCCCATGTAAAATGAAAGTAATGAAAAACTGACAATCTCTTAAGACTGGAAAAAGTAAGTTTATCCATACACATTCACCCAGAGAGGCAATCCCATCATTTTAATCGGAATTTTCACCTGTATTTTCAACACAAGCACCAAAACTCGGTAAAGCTCAAAGAAAGCTTCTCTGCATATAGAGAGGGAAGAACTAGCTCTCCCAGTATTTCTTATTTAAGCCAGTTGTACATACAGCTAAGATCTTGTAACACAAAGCTGTCTTTTCTGCCTGTTGCCTGGAAAATACATTCTTTTGTCTCTGGGGAGCAACCCAAGCAGCTCTCTATTACGTTTCCACCAAAAAAAACCAAAAAAATGCTGCCTTGTAGCAAATATCTTGTCTTATACATTAAGGAAAGTTTTAAACTGAAATCAAAGATGCGTAAAATTTATAAAAGTCATGACAGAGCTGGCATAATTAGAAGTTACATATAATTCTATATCCAGTTTTTCAGAAACAGCCAACTCAAACTTTTTGAGAATTTAATCTGCACTACCAACCACTTCCTCTAAATCAGAAAATGCTTCTAACATCAGGTTACAACACTTCAAAGAGCAGAAAGAAACAATCAGCCTTCCAACTGAAAATAAGAAGGTAGCAAGCAGACAGCAAAACCAAGTAAGAAATGCAAAGAGTTAGCACTACTGGAAATCTAATCAGGACTTGTGTCAGACCTCACCTCATGCTTGAGTAATATAACAATTTCTAGAACTAACAGAGTTAAGATTCACTAGGCAGAAATAAAGTTGGTTCTTGCCTTGACTGGGTTTTATTTTCCTAATCTCATTTTGCTTTTTATCAGAATTGAAACCAAAGAAGAAGAATCCAAATCCTCCCATTGAGTTTCTTGTCAAAAAAATCAACATGTGCTGCCCACACAGTGGTACATGAGATTTCCATTCCTATATGGTACAGCCTGAGATAAAGACACATCCTGGGATCTATTTCACAGTTTATCAAGTGTGAAATAAGGTTAAAGATTTCACCAGGAAACCATAAGTGCTTTCATAAAAGTAGAAATAACTTTGCTTCAAGATATAAGGTGCAGAAGGTGTCAGAGAAAAATCAGTAAGATCAGCTTATAATTACACTGACTGTTATATTTAGCAAAGTTTTGCTGCTCATATCTGCAGAAGAAGAGATATTACACTGGCAAGCAGAATTAAAAATATGGTCCTGTATTTAACATGCAAGATACCAGTCATAACAAAAACCTGCAAATCCCACCTGGTTTATTTACCCATCAAGCTTGTGTATTCCACTAAATCCTATGAAAGGATTTTATTTTTTTAATCTTAATGGAGCTAAAACAACCAAACAAACAAACAAACACTTTAACAGTTCAGGTTCAAACAATGTTGCTCCCAAAAGCCTGGAGTTGTATACTGGAGTCCTACAGGCTCTGAAAATTTCCTTTTCTGTCATTGACCCATTTCCTATTGTATATATTCTCACAGATGCTACAGTAGATCAATTTGGATTCAGAAAGAGAGGAAAATGAGTATCTATTTAAAATAAAGAGAAGGGAAACACTTCAAAGAAATATTTCCTTTACATGATTGCTCACTTATTTCTTTTTTAAAGGAGGTAGAACTTAAATTGCAACAGAAAAATTGCATATCAAAAGTCAAAGTGATTAAGAAGGATAAATGAAAATTTCTTTCTTGGCCTATCTACCAGTGCTTTACCAACCCATACCAAAAGTCTGTACATTTCCTCTACCTCTGAAGTGTTTGCAGAAAAGTTCAGATTTGAAATAGGTAAACCAAAGTTCATCGCTGTACTAACAAACTTGAGCCGCTTTCATGCGTACCAAATAGCAATCACAGAAACCCACCTGCAGGTTTGTTTGCCCCCTCTAATAGTTGACATGATTATAAACATCTGTAAGTAATTATATTCATTAACATGCTATTCCACGTGACATGCACTAAGTCTACGCTGCTGCTGAACATCATTTATCATCTGGTCAAAGAACACTGATACTCATAACAGCATCTGGCCACAGTAAATGCTCTGGGTACAATGAAATCAAAGAGCAGAAAACTTACTCACTACGAAAGGGCACAACCCTTGTGCATTACGTACAATTCATGTGGTCAGGAAGGTTATGTTGACACAAACTGAGAACATTTACATGCAAGCATGACAAAGAGATCAGAGAAGCTGAGCCTGCAAGAATGGAGAGAGAGAAGCTGACAGTCCTTCCAGGAAGATTAAGAGTCCTAAACTGAGCAAAAACATAGATATCAAGCATAGAGACAGGAAAGTCACAGTTACTTTCCTGCTTTGTATTTTCTTTATAAGCAGAACTCAATGGATAGTGATTCACTGGCACCGTGGCACCACCCATCTCCTTTTATGAGAAATAACCCACACCCAGCTTCAATGCTCCAAACCTCCTACAACTCAGAGTGAGAGATACAGAGCATCAGACTGGTATTGCAGAACAGTAGACAACTTGTTTGCACAAATTCTCCAGACTCAACATTTTAATGAGGAAAAAAAAAATCTATTGCATATTTGTCAGCAGGCTGTACCTACATCCTACACTCCCGGGCAGATGGAGCTCGTTAGCCCTTAAAGGCAACCCACCTACGTCCTGAGGACCTCACTGCCACCGTCCAAGCTCGCTTGGCCCCGGCAGATGAACCTTAGGATTAAAGGGTGGGCTCAGTTCCGCGCACACTGTGTCTCACCTAAAAAATCCAATGCGCAGGCTGGAAGGTGTAAAGACCTTCCCTGGATCTTCGCTCGCGAAGACTGGCCATTATTATTATGTACCTACATCGCATCCAGTCAGACTGGCTGTTTCTTTGCAGCCAATCTCTCATCTCCACCTTCAGCAGCATTTATGAACTAGAACCTTTTAAAATCTGAAGTCTTTCTGTGCAAAGGCCTCCTGAAAGGACTAATTAAAGCATTTCAGTCATACAGTGAACAGATAGAAAAGCACACCCAAAGTTATACTTCCATGAAAGTATTGACGTCTTTACTTTCTTCTAAAGGACATCTTTTGTATAAACTCCAGCTCACCACACCAAGAGTAAAGGTAAAGCAACATTTTATTCCTCAGTGCATTACCTTTCCCTCTGTATTGAGGCACTTTCGTTTAGAGCCACTGTTCATGTGCACCATCTCCCTACCATAAGGAGTTATCCCTACTGCCTGCTCCTCACTACCTCAGTTAGACAGTGTCATACTTCATCATTTTCACCAACAAGAAAGATTGACTGTTCATGGTACCTTAAAGATGTCACTGAACCGGTCAGCAAGAATTTGCAGAGTTGTGTCCATATTATTTCTGATGCAATTAAATTTATTTAACACTCTTCCACTCAAAGAACTGTTGAAATACCTCTTGAGTCATACACTTCAGATTCTTGACCATACATCATCTCCAGAGAAGCTGTCAGCTTCTGTATGTCAAGTAAATCCAGCAGGAACAGTTTTACAAACAAGGTGAATTCTGTGACCACGTATTACCTACAAAAATCAAGATATTTACCATACAAAAAAAATTAGCACTATCTGCTGGTATAAAATTATTTTTACTATGAAGGTCTCTTTCTATATCCAGTGAAGTATATTTTACATTCCACTTTCCTTTGAGATCAAGTGCCAGTATGTCTACCAGAAAATGCAATGCAGAAAAGGATCTCACACAGAGATCATTAAGTTTGATTTTTTTTTTCTTGAAAAAGGCACTATAAAAAGCTTAACAGCTCATAAGAAGTCATTTATATTCTAGTTACTTCTTCGCTGTGGACTTTAAAGTCACACTCATCAGGATAAAGAACAAAATGGGGTTCAATTTATAATGCTCCTTATAGAGCTGCTCAGCTTCAGAAAACAAAGTGAATTTTTACTAAGAAACAAGGTGAGCAGCCAAGGAATGCTTCTGAATTTAAAGTCACTGTCAGGAGCCTTTTAGACCCTTGAGCAACCAAATGGAACACCAAAAAAAAACGACTGACAGCACAGGCTGGAAAGGGGCAGCAGTGGCCTCCCCTTGCTGAGGGCTGCAGGTACTGAGAAGGTCAGGAAGTGACTTTAACCAATTTTGTAGGACTACACATGACTATCCTGCAACCAACCCTGGCACTATAGACACACTATAGCAAAAATTCAGACTGGGGCCAAAAGAATAAGAATTTCCTCACGTTATAATTAACTAAATACAGCAATCAAAAATACCCCAAAACAAAACAAAAAAACCCCAACCCTCCACTGAACAGCATTTTATAAAAATTACACAACCACTTTCATAACAATAGCTACTACAATGAACAACATTCATTCAGTATAATAGACTGTTTAAACAGCAATTTTCAACTGAGCCAAGTGACATGAGCTTTGTACAAATCTGCTTTTCTACAAGCAAATACCAGGAAAAGGTCTGTGCTAAATTTATGGAGGCTATTGAAATCATTCAAGTGCACAACAGGATTTTCTCGCATTTTTCTGAGTAGATGGGATTCAGTACACCAGGATACACACAGACAGAAAAATGGCACAGCAAGGTAAAAGCCGGGTTCAAATGGAACAGTCTGAAGCAAGGAGGAAAAAAAATCAACCAATTTAACAGCAAGCAAAAGTGGGTAATAGAGCAGAGAAAAGTGCTCACTAACATTTCATATCCAATATCACACTCTGTTTACAAAAATCATAGCACTAGTCTCACCAGGACAGTATCTGCATGTATTCCATCGGGCTGTCTTCAAGGAAAGAATCCTATAAGTTAGGTCCTATTTCACCCCATTTATTTTTCATACCATAAACACATTTCTGTAAAACACTAGGAACTTCATCAGCATAGGGATACAGAAGCAGTTTCCAGAAGGACAACAAACTGCCATATGAAGAGGTCTCAGTGGCCTACGTGCACTTGTCCCAGCCACTATTTCTAAGCATGGTGATTCAAAGGGAGCAGAACAAGCTACTACACGCTATCCATGAGGCAAAGGAAACTTGCTTTCAGATAGATAACAGCTGTTCAGCTCACACCCCAGTTTGCTTTAGGGTGATTTCTGCGTATATCCACGCTCTCGGCTTTCCTCTCAAGCAATGCAGTATTGTCACTTGGAAAGCATGGAACTTATCAACCAGTTATTTCAGTCCTAGACAGCTGAACCCAGCTGTGGCTGAAGCTGTTTGAACTGGCCAACAACAATTCTCACCAGAAGGTATAAAACACAATTCAGAAGAGATGTCTGAAGAAGAAGAGAGTTTGCAATGCACAGCCTCAGTGAGAGGGGCATTAGCTCCCAAAATTCTCCTCTGAGAGACACTGGAAAAATACTCCTTTCTCTAGGACAGCACAGCATGACCACTTCAGCTCTATAAAATTGCAAACAAGGTTCTCACTAATATTTGGTAAACACTTATTTCACTTTCCCTACATGGGAAAACTATTTTGGTCTTCCAGCTCCTAACATAAGAGAGGACCATCAACACAGTTAAGCTAAAGCTCAACATTTCAGTACCCCTTCAAACATTTTCAAAACACTCTTAAAACTTCACTTCTGTACAATTATGCAGAAGATGCTTGATGCCTACCACCTAGTGGATTCACACAGCATAGCCTTTAAACACTCACACAAATATCCCCAAACCAATCACAAAACAGAAAAAAACGTATAAATAACACACCATAACTTTCTTCTATCTGAAGGAGCAGGACTCTCACAGTGTCTCCAGTGATAAAAAGGTATGAAATGCTACCTATGCACTAACTTTTTCCAGTTAGATACCAATCTGTACATCAGGCTATTAAAAAAAAAAAAAAAAAAGAAAAGAGTATGAAACATTTTTTAATGGCATTGAAAACTAATTCCATTGGAAATTGAGTAATTCCATGAAAATTTAAATGCTTCAATTTATGAATGCTGCTCCAGCCTTATACAAACTTATGTGCAGAGTGCAATCTTGGCGATTATTCATAAGAATTCAATCTCATATATGTGTGGATGAATAAATCTCTGGAACTCATGCAGACAAGCTGCCCAAATACCAACAATCTTTTTTGCCTCTCCCCACACATTTGCACAGTCAAAATTAAGGCAAGTAATATTTCTGATGTTAAAAAGAAGAAAATAAATTATTTCTAATAACAAAGTCCAGTAACATCTCTGTTGGCAAAGTCCTCTTCAAAAGTCCTTACTGCCTCTACAGAGCCTATTTCTCTATCTACGTCCTTACTTTGTGGTTTTGGGTTGTCTGAAAGAGAAAGAGACTCTTGGTAGGAAAGCATATAATCCAATCACACAACACACTACCACAATTTACAGGATAACTGCATTGATGTTTTAATTGTAGCTTCTCTCATTAACAGCCATCTTCTACTAAATATTCTGTGCTCTGTGAAGTCTTGTTAATCACCAAACACAGTACCATAAAGCAAAAGCTGTTTCCTAAATCCAGGATCTAGATAATAATTTCCCTCTAGAAACATAACATCTAGGAGACCAAGATCACAAGTAAATTAAGTATTACAGGAGTCAGATGAACAACTTACCTTGGAAGTTTTACCTAAAACTTCATCTGCTGCTGTCAAAGTATCCAACTATAAAATGTTTAACACTGAACAAACACCCTCCACAGGTTCTCGGTGTTTCAGAATCTCTACTGATCAGAGCAATCTCCTTACCTGAAACACTCTTGAAGGCTCAGAGGGGGCAGTTGATCCACTTCCAAAATTAATTCTTTCACTGCTGAATACAAGTTCTGCTGCACCTCGTCTTGCTCAATAATCAATTCATCTCTTTCATCCTATGCAGAAAGAAAAGCAAGTCAGCAACTCTCACCCAAAAATGAGTGAAAAAGCTAATTTTTTTAACTTCCACTCGTATGGTATGACTACCTGGCACAAATACAGCACTTTTCACAGTGTAAAGATATGACTACATGATCAGACAACTAAAGAAATAGTTCCTGCATGACTGTTGATAACAGTGGGAATCTTAACTGCCACTGAAAATGTAAAATGTCCTGGTTGTCCTGTAGTTTTTGATTGAATTACAGAAATTAGAATTTGGATTATCCACACTTCCATACATCCAAAATTACATCCACAGCGTCAGACTGCAAATGATTTCATACTGGAAAAGAATGCTCTAGAATGAAAAAAATCCTTGCCTTTTAGTAGGAAAGGCAGGTGACCTGTGAATTCCCTACTGATTATCTGCAGAAAGATTATTAAACTAAAGAAAATTTTCTAGAAAAAACCCCAGAGCTTCCCTTGAATGACTGGCAGGATTAAGTATGTTAATAGGAGAGGAATCCCATGTTCCTAACAGACAAGGTACCTATCAGACTTATCAAAACCAAACCTTTTGAAATGGGTGAAAGAAATTAAAAATTCATACTTGGAAGCTTGTTGCAATATTCTTTTCACAGTGATTTAACTCAACATGCCCATAGAAATATGAAAACACACAGGAACATGGAAGACCAAGCTCCAGCTTTATGAACCTGCTGTAAAGGTTTGCTATTTCCTTCTACATCCATTTCCAAAAATAAATTAAAAAAAAATAAAATCATTGAAATAGCTATAACATGGTGTCCTGATGTGTGTTATCTTCCCTATCACACACATGCTGCTTAAAAACTTTGGAAAGTCTGGTGTGGAGAAATATATCATATAAATGTATCTGTAATATGTATGTATCTGTAATATCAATATGTATACACAAACACAGGTTCAAATGTGGTCTTAAATTCAGTTTACTTAGTGAAATCTTAGAAATGGACTTAATCAGCAATTTTTAAGTATCCACCATAGACTAGAGATCTTTTACCTGTAACAGACGAGGGCAGAATGAGATCCAGTGGCTGGAAATTGAAAGATGGAGAAGCTCCAACTGAAAATAAACCCCCAAGTTGTAGCACACACTGCTTTAAGAACAGATTAGCAATTGAACAGTTGCTGTAATTCAGCCACGCATTATTAGGCTGGATAATAAAAATCAGTAGATTTAATTGTACTACAGAGGGTGAACAGAATGTATTGCTTTAGCACTTAAAAACATGAAACAACAACAATAGAAAAGATTTAATAGGCACTCTTGCACTTTTGGGCATCGCTGGAGAATTCCTGCTGTTTTTCCTGCAAAAGGCAAGAGGTAGTTTGTAAACCAATTCTGTAACATGCTGCATAAAAAATAATGACCCCTCGTCATAAAGAACACTTTCCAAGACTTCTACAGAATATTACTTCAAAAACTGGAGCAATTGAGACTTAATGTAGCAGAAGATTCAACCAGGCAACCAAACTCCAGTTAATACCAGTTAAAGCACTAGAGAAAATCTAACAGTCTACACACGACTAAATGACAATCAAGGAGCTCAACAGATGGCTCAGGAGCCACAGGACAAATCTCCTTCCAACCTGTGTACATGGGACACTTCTTGGCTTAGATAATGCCCATTAGATAACTTCACAGAGCATTAAGTACACGAGCAGTATTTTTTAATAGTCTGCTTTACAACGATGCAAGCTCTTCACAGTAGCAAACATTACAATTAAATTCCTTTAAAACAGACTAAAGGCTTCTCAAATTAAAAATTTAGTTCATTAAAAAAAAAAAAACACAACAACAAAACCCACCACACAAACAACTGCACAAACAACACCACACAACCAACCATCAGACTTGGTAATACCAACTTCCAGTCTGGCTCACCGTCTTGTTTCTTGTAAATATAGCAATGCTAATGAAAGTCCACAACAGCAGTTTTTGGCTCCCTTTAGTGTAAGTTACTACTTTGCAGTATATGGAATAGCTAAAGGTAGGTCTGGCATCAACATCCATCCTTAAATTGTTCAAATTACCCCAGCAACCTCTACTTTTTTTTTAATGAGCAATGAAGAGTTCCCCTTTTTTATACATTAGCATGATTATTTTTCATGTTTCCCAGCAAAAAAGAAAAAGATGAATATGTACACTACAGTCTCCAGTAAGTTTCAAAATTGACATCACAAATTAAACGACACATCCATGCAACACTAACTACAGTGTCTGAGAAGTCAGCTTGTATATTACACCCTATCACTATGAGTACTTACTTACGCTGCAGTCAGGGGAACTTCTAATTACCCCTGTTTTTTCATCTGTAAAGATGCAATCCTTTCCGTAATATTTCGGTAGGAGAGCTGGTAAAGTGATCATCACCACTACATTCCTCTTTGGACACAGAATTTACATAAAATTCTATTATTAGTTTGGAATGTATTTTAAGCATTTCCATAAATACCTTATAAAGAAAAAATGTTCCAGTCGCCCATCTTCATTTTTGGGACAGTATCTAGGAGAGACACAGTTAAACCAGCATAAACCAACTACAAATGCACAGACAATGAAAACTGAAATAATGCCACTTACTCTGCACTCAAACTTTATTGTGTTTACTCACACCCAGGATGGCTGTTTGAGATGTATTACATTTCCCCAAACCAAGATAAGATGTTCACTTCCAAATGAGCCTTGTGACAGTGAGAGAGGACACAGCATTTCAGGGAAGTTAAAGGAGGAGCACATTGCTTAGGCAACTGAACAGCAAGATTTAACTTTGTAAAGGCAATTTTGACAGCTAGGTTGACAGATTGAGCAGAATTAAACAGTTTGCTTTAGTTTAAAATCCAGCTATTTCATCCATCTGTTTGGGTTCACTGGACTTCCTGTACACTGGATTTACACATTTTAACTGAGCAGGAAATTAAGTCAGTGACATCATCACTCTTAGTTGCACTATGAAAAATGTCTGCTAGCCAACCTACAGTCAGTATAAATTAAGCAGGTATGACAGGCAGGCTAACAAGCACACCATTTACTGTGTGCATCTGGGACATTTCTTGTATTTGAAAACACAGTAGCCAAGACTCTGTGGCATGGTACAGTAGAGAAAATAGATCCTTAAAAATCAAAATTACTCTCAGCAAAATAAAAAATTAAGTCACTACACTGCGCATTGTAGGGACAGGCAGGACAGGAGAGGTGGAGGGGGGCACTGTATATAATAGAAGGGTTAGAATGTATGGAGCTCACAGTTGGCACTGGTACAGTTGACAGCCTCTGGGTAATAATCAAGGGGCAAACAAATAATGTGGATGTCATCGTGGAAGTCTGCTATAGACCTCTCAGCCAGGATTATGGTGCTGATAAATTATTCTTTGAAGAACTAAGGACTAAGGGAAACTTCCAGGTCAACTGCCCTTGTCCTTACAGGGGACTTCAGTTTGCCAGAAATTAACTGAGAGCATCACACAGCTGGTACAAACTGGGCCAGTAGATTCCTAAAAACCTGGATGACAACTTTAGGTCATAAGGGAGCCAACTTGGAGAGATGCTTTCCTTGATCTGCAGCTTGTCATCAGAGTGGATCTCACGAGAGAAGTGGAGATTGGTGGACATCTTGGCCACAGCAACCATGAAGCCATCAACTTTAAAATCTCTGTTGACAGGAGGAAAAGTTCCAGCAACACCTCAGCTCTGGATATGAAGAAAGCAGACTCCAGGCTGCTCAGGGAATTGGTAAGTAAGGTCCCCTGTGCAAATGTTTGTGCAGGTGCTGGCGCCCATCAGTGCCGGTCAAACATGAACTCTTAAGGGCAGGCAATTCCCAAATGTCAGAAATCCAGCAGACAATGCAGAAGGTCAGCTTGGCTGAACAGGAATCTTTCCTCGTAAATAACGCAAAAAAGAAGGTGTATGCCCAGTTGTAAGCAAGGTCAAGTGACACAGGAGGAGTTCAGAGATGCTGATTGCCACTGTAGGGAGAAAATTTGTGTGGCCAAAGCTCAGCTGGAGTTGAAGCTGCCAGAAATGTGGGGACAATACAAAGAGTTTTTTCAAACACATTAATGGCAATAGGCAGCATAGAAATATCATCAGCCCATTACAGGATGAGGATGGTCACCTCACAAACAGGGACAGACAAAGGTAGAGGTGTTTAACACATTCTTTGCTTCTGCCTTCAACAGAGATGATGGACCAAGGAAATGTCAATGCCCTCAGCTGGAGGACCATGACTGTGAGAATTATCAGTTCCCAGTCGAACCTGAGATTTTGTGGGATCTGCAGTTCCAGCTGGATCCCTACAAATCTATGAGGTCTGATGGGATTCATCCAAGAATCCTCAAAGAGCTAACTGATGTCATTGCAAAACCTCTCTCAATGATTTTTGAGCAGTCTTGGGAATCTGGAGAGGTCCCAGATGACAAGAAGTTGGCAAAGGTCCCACTATTCAAGAAGGAGGACTGCGGAAACCACAGGCCTGTCAATCTCAATTCAAGCTACGGAGAAGATTTTTCTGGGAGGCATTGAAAAACACCTGAAAGACAACAGAGTCATCGGTCACAGCCAGCACAGCTTCATGAGAGGAAAGTCCTGCTTATCAAACCTGATTTCCTTTTATGACAAGGTAACCCACCTAGTTGATCAGGGGAAGCCAGTTGATGTCATCTTTTTGGATTTCATAAAGCTTTTGATACAGCCTCTGACAGGATCCTTCCAAACAAACTGTCCAGCACACACCATGTGGTGGGTGAGCACTTGGCTCATGGGTCGAGCACAGAGGGTAACAGTGAATGGGGTCTGGCAACAGGACTGGTGACCTGTCACTAGTGGGGTTCCACAGGGCTCCATCCTTGGCCCTGTGCTCTTTAACATCTTCATAAATTACTTGGAAGCAGGACTGGAAGGAATATTAAGCAAGTTTGCAGATGGCACAAAACTGGGAGGAGCTGTTGACTCCCTCAAAGGCAGGGAGGCCCTGCAGAGAGACCTCAACAAATTAGAGGACTGGGCAATTACCAACATATGAAGTTCATCAAGGGAAAGTGCCAGATTCTGCTCCTGGGATGGGCCAACCCCAGATGTATGTACAGATTGGGAAATTAGATGTTGGAAAGCAGTGCTATGGAAAGGGACCTGAGAGTCCTGGTCAACAGCAAGTTGAATCTGAGTCAGCAGTGCCCTGGCAGCCAGGAGGGCCAACCGTGTCATGGGGGGATCAGACAAAGCATCGCCAGCCGATCAAGGAGAGGGATTGCCCCAGTCTGCTCTGCACTGATGGGGCCTTACCTTGAATATTGTGGCAGGTTTTTTCACTGCAATATAAGAAAGATATTTAGCTCTTAGACAGCATCCAAAGAAGGGCAATGAAGATGGTGAAGGGCCTTGAAGGGAAGCCATATGAAGAGCAGCTAAGGGTACTTGGTCTGTTCAGCTTGGGGAAGAGGAGACTCAGGGGAGACCTCATTGCAGTTTAAAACTTCTTTGTGAGTGGAAGAGGTGGTGCAGGCTCTGATCTCTTCTCTGTGGTGAGCACTGACAGGACCTGAGGGAATGGCCTGAAGTTGTGTCAGGGCACATTTAGGTTGGATATTAGCAACAGATTCTTCATCCAGAGCATGGTTGGTGCTGGAACAGGCTCCTCAGGAAAGTGGTCACAGCACCAAGCCTGACAGAGTTCAAGAAGCATTCGGTCGATACTTTCAGGCATGTGGTGTGACTCTTGGGGATGCTCCTGTGCAGGGCTGAGGGTTGGACTCGGTGATCCTTGTGGGTGCTTTCTAACTCGGCATATTCTGTGATTCTGTAATTTGTGTGGCATTGCAAGACTAGCATGATGCCAACAAAACTCTTGTTCTGTATCCTTCACTTGCCAAAGACTTCAAAATACTTAAAACAAACTCCACAAGACCCTTAAGATGTCCTGCTTCCAGCTGCTACTTATTAATCTTGAAAACTACATTAATTCTTCCAAGAGCTCCACACTTCCAAACATTCCCACTTGCATACCTCATGCAGCACTTGGGCACTCTGGGGGATACCTGACATCCTGCAGAAGTCCTGTCTTCTTTAATTTTCCTGACTTAAAATATTTGTGACACTGCTATGACAACTTCCCCACTTCAGACAGCAGGAATTTTTTTTTACAGCAGCATGTTCTTGGAAAGTTATAAGATTTCATGCCACCATTCCTTTGCATCTTCTCTTAGGCAACCAGGAATAATATCAGAATGGGTGGAGGAGCCTGGAGGGGTGTGGAGGGGGTTGATTTCTGAACAAAAATAGTTTTTAAGCCACACGTGAGGCCACGCATTGATCACACAAAACAAGAGGGCTACACAAATACTTGTGGAGCTACCAGAAGCAGTAAAGTGCTGTAAGCTCCTTTCAGCAGTATTTTGAGTATTTTGGCAGTGTAACACACTACAGCTCATCATGCAGACATGACTTCATTGTTAGCCATTCACAAATGAAATGGGTAACAATGTCCAGATCGTCAAACATATTCCAAGAAATTGGTCCATCACTCAAATAGTCTTCAAGAATGAAACAGTTTTTCATTATGTTTGTCATGGAAGAATGCTGCTTGCTGGCGTTGGAAACACAAAACCAAAACAAAACCACAAGCCCAAAATACCTCATACACACTCTGTCACCAGAATGGCACCAAAGAAATCATCTCCTCTATTAAATAAATACCTTTGAGACTATGTAGTCACACCACAGAATCTGCATCCATCCTAACTTTGGTCCACATTAAAAGTTTTCTTTTCCTCAATCTCCATCTCAACTGAGTCAAAGCAAAACTGGCCAATGGGCTGAAAACAAGTTCTAAGATGCCTTTGCTTTACTTATGGGCTGTTGTTCAAAAGGACTTATGGACCCCACTGAGCTCAATCATCCTGTAAGGATACACAGGTATTCTTCCCAAGAATGCCAAGGCAGTGGAAGGATTAAAATAAAGAGGTTTATTTCACATGCAAGGACGACTTTTTAAAAATCGTGCACACATCAGGCTCTAGATCAAAAGGCAAAGCCCCTCATCCTCCAAGGCTTTTTGTATCTTCTCTCTCTCTTCCCTCACTCTCTCTCTGGCCCAAGGAGGCCATGTAGGCGTCTACAAACATGTTATCTCTCTGCATACCAGAGAGCAAGGCTGAGAACTTCTCTTGTTGTGCAGGAGGGAGGAGGGGGAGCATTGAAACTGCCTTTGAGAAAGAGCCACCACCTTAGGCAGAAAGCTGTCCTAGTGAAACGAGTTCTAACTTCCCATTACAAATTCTTCTGGAAATGTATCTCTTCCTACAGTCTCATGTAATCTCCAGAAAACTGAAACTGCTACTATCTCACGTGGAATCATTACACGAGGAATTTGTACAAGGAAAGCTTGTGCAAGGGGGTCCCTGAGCAGCCCTGCCTCCTGGGTAACTCACAACCTGGCTGTTCTTCTAACGCTACTCCCCTATACAGGATGCAACATTAAAATTTCATCTGCTTATTCACACTTATCTCAATGTGGTCAAGTTTAAACATTTGACCTGTGTTTTAGCAAACAAAGGAATTTCTTTTCACCAACAGGAATCAAATGTATGCCATGCTCTAGATGTTTTCCATGCACAAGCAACAAAACCAGAACTTACTTTGGTTCCCCTCATGGCTCAGTGTTTCCTATTCCATTTCACAAGCTGCTAAATTCAGTATAACACAACAAAGCTTCGTAAGCAAACACGTTTAAAACGGTTTAAGTTATACCTGAAAATAGCCACAACACATTCTCCTAGATGCACGACTACCATCCCTTCCCTGCCTTACCACAAATCCTGCCACAGACCGAGGACACTTCCCGTTCCCAAAAGCAGCACATACCCGTCCTTATCAACACAGCCAAGCCTGCACACCCACGCAGGCTCCTTCAGATCTGTGGCTCCAGAGAAGTTGCACTAGATGGCAGCTTTCCCCTGCACAAATCCATCTTCCTATAGCACCGCATCTCCACACCGCTCCCCCTGTGCTCTCCACAGGAGGGAAGCACACACCAAGTAGTGACATGCTGCTACAACAGGAGGTTTCATTTGAAGACAGGCAACGCAGCTGCAGAGCCGAAGTGCTTTCTATTACAGCACAGAACCCACTAAGCTACCATGTTCTGATTTCCGTATATTTCTTTGTAAAATCAAGGGTGTCAGAAAGTCTATGTTTAATACACACATAGCAAAAACAAAAAAAACCTGCCACAAGTACATCAGTTGTGGCAAATGTAGCAAAGCCTTCAATGTCATCTAGCAAAGGAGAAATGTTTCTGTGCTGTGCTCATGCTGTCCAGCTACACTTACAAAACTAAAATACTCTGTCAGTAGCTGCCAAATGATAGCTTCTGAGAAAAAAATAATTTCAACCTACCACATTTCTGCATAATCGAATCCTCTTTTAAGCCAAGTCATATTCTATCCAAACCTTCTACAACTTTTCCAAGGAACACAGAACAGTGAGAGAAACATCTGCAACCATTTTTATGGCTTGTGAGAGCTGCTCCCCAAAATGACTGTTCTTTTTATATGCCTAAGTTATAAGGAAGAAACAACATTTTACCAGGATTTTTTTTCTCAACTCAGGCAGTTTAAAAGTTAACATTATTCTGACCCCTTGAACATATAGATTTTGAGATACCACTTGTCATGTTAATAGCCTAGTTTCTTTCAAAAAGTAACACTATTTGTCTCATTCAGCTCTTAATTTTTTTTTTATTTTATTCTTTTTTCGAGGAAGGATCAAGAATACCTTCATTATACCTCAGTATTGACAAGACTCTACATGAGAATTCCCTCCTGCTCCTAATTTTCCTTTGGTTCTATTTCCTCCCTTGGTATATTTTTTTAACTCATCTTCCACAAACACGTGTACCAATTCACACATTCCTTCTCAAAGGAGATGATGGTCACTGCTATTTCAAGTCTGTTTCAAGTCTTCTTCCCATTGCACTTTTGTCACTTCTTTAAAAGTAGAAAGGTAATTTGGGCTACCCAAAGCCATTGGGTAGCAATAGAGATACCCAAGGAGCTCTGACTACCCAGTCACTTCTAACAATTTACTAATTAGCAATCTCCTGGAAGACGGAATTGAAAACTCTTCTTGCTACAGTGATGGTAAAAGGGTAGAAGTGAATCAAAGTTATCTGATAAACACTGAGAAACAGATCATGCAAATTCCAGTGTTAGCTCCTAAAACACCCAGGTTTCAGCCTTACCTTTGGAAAATACTCCCCTCTGCATAGAATACTGCATTTTTCTTAGAAAATTAAGAAAACAAAACTTTTGGGAAACAAAAAAGCATGCATGGCTTCAAGAGATAAGCAAGGCAATGATTAATAGTATTGTTTTAGGAAAAAAAATACATACCTAACTTTTTTCAGTGCCTTCACCCCAGCAGCCAAACTTCTTTTTTTCATTCCAATGTAAGTACGTTGTTCAAAGCTTTCCGTTTTCTTAGATGATTCCTTCTCTATGAATTATTTATCATTTTTGAAGCAGTGTTTCAGCAAAGTGAGGGAAAGATAGATCAAAAGTCACAACAGTCAGCCAAGGCTACCAACACGCAGACCACAATTTAGACTTTTGAAAACTAGAGATAAACATACACAGAGTTGGCCCTCCTCAAAACACTAACAAAAAGCCTAGAAAGGCATACAAACTGATGAGAATAATTTTATTATTAGCTTCATAGAGCTTAATAGTTAATTTCCTTCCTCTAGTTTCAGTAGTGGATTTCTTCAATTACTCCATATTTACTAGCAAGTCTTCAGACAACATGGAATTTTTTGCTTCCCTTCTGGAAAAATGCCTACTCATTAATTCAGGGAAATCAAGTCCAGAGACTCTTTAAACTCCTCACTCCCATCACAGCCACAACTCTAAATAGTGCAGGAAAACCTTCATTTTACTTACAACCAGCCTGACCTTCCTACAAGGAGTATCCTTAAGAAAAAATAAGGAATATTCTTGACCCCAAAAGAAGCGCAAGCACCACATCAGACTACATTCCTCCAGGGGCAACCTAAATTTGAAAACTCCTGCTCTGATTCCACAGAGATGCTTTTATAAACTCCAGTTTAGGTAATGAAATGCAGACTGTAAATGTTTTTAGCCTTTTGGACTCATTTACATGATATTAAAAAAAAAAAAAAAACCAAAACAAAATGAACAGAAATGCCAACAAATGAACAAACCAAAAACATATAGAGATATAAATAGTTTTGTATTTCCAGATATGCATTCAAAGTCTTATGAGGGCAGGGTGTTTTTTGAAGTACCCCTCAAAGCCACCACCACCACACACCACCCTTCTCAAATAAATCATTGCCTACCATAGTGTTTTTAGCAGGGAGGAAATATTGTCTCACTTAAAAGAATATCCACAACCTTTTCTTTTAAAATAGTTTACTTGCAATCAGCACAAAATAGAAATTAAAATTTGTAGGAAACAGAGTGTTTTTTAAAAATCATCGTACTATATGTAAGAAATGCTTCTAGGATTTTCTTGCATTTAAATGGCTTTTCTTAGCTGCAATCATGTATTCTGTTGCTTATTAATTTAGTTTGCATAGAAACAAACATCATATCTTCAGTGGATGCAGAATCTGTGCAATGACAAGTTATGTAGAAAATTGATGTTCTAGGAAAAGTTAACCAAGTAACAAAGCTGGTTATGACTAGTTTTAGTCTGCAAGAAAAAGAAACAGCTGGGTGCAAGTTTGGGGTTTGGGGATGTCAAAAGGATTTACAAAATGGCGGATTTTCCTTCCATATCTGTAGGGATAAGAATTTGAACAACGTTTTTCCGAATTCATGCAAACATGAATTTTTTCACACAATCTCTTCATACTTCTGCCGTTTATCACCATTCACAGCCTTCTCAAGCCTATCAGTAACTAAGTATTTTGCTTCTCTTATAATGCTAGGAATCTCCCCTGGAGAGAAACAAAAGCATCCTTTCTATTAAGCAGCAATTAAGGAAATACACATTTTTATGCAGTTCTAAAATTCCACATCTGTTATGACTCTGTGATGCTTATAAATTTTCAGCCCAAGACAGAAAAAACTGTTTTTCCCTCTAAGTGAGGAAAAAACAAAGCAAAAAGAAAGGCAAAGATCACACCCTTACACACAAAGCATGATTTTAATCACCAAGTGATTAACCTGAAAACCTTCATACAAACCAGGAGTTTCATCAAGTGTGGTGGCAAGCCAGCATATAGACCAAGGGGAGCTCAGGTCTAACCTGGACTGAAAAACCTGTGCTAACACCTATTGCCAGCATCTCCCTGCACCAGGGCAACACAGCCTTCACTCAACCAGTTTAATCCTTCTCTATTCCAAAGAACAGTTCAGAGCTGAACTGCAGTATGATGAAACCATAAGACAGAAGCATTGTCAGAAACACTCGCAATGAGAAGTATCTACTTTACGTTTCCATGTACCTGAAGTTCACATTTCAGCTCTTGAACCTTCAGTTCTAGTTCCTTCTGCCTCTGCAAGAGATTTATATTCCTCCTTCTGAGAGTTTGTTTCTCTTCAGACAGCTTCTGATCTGATTTTATTTGTCCCAAGCTGTTGTCTGGCACTGAGGTGGAAGCTAGAATATTTTCCTTTTAAAAATTAATTAAGAGGAATTAATTTTTTTAAATCACATAATTTGCAAACAGCCCTTTGTATGTTTTCCCCATCACTAACTGAAAAGTCTTTTCCATCCAAAAAGCATTTAACAACACACTTACAATACGCACTTACAATACAAACCCACAAAAGTCAAAGTCCATTGTAACTCAGATCTCCTATCCAATAAATAAGCCAAAGCACTTTAGGGTTAATGTTGGGATCTATACCCTAAAAGGCGTTTTTGTAACAAAGAAGAGTGATGTAAAGCCATCTGTCTCTGAGTATTGTGACAGTACTGTACACCACCAAAGCTCCACTAGATCACACATCAACTCCATCCTCACCTGCACGGCTTTGGTTACATCCCAGCTTGTTTCCTTCTGAGGCATACCACCCCAAAAATGCCTGTGATGTACAAAATATACAGAAATGGAATAGAGAATCTCCTGACTGGCTCCCGCTCAGGCCAGTCAGGACAACTTTATACACAAACGTGCCTCAACACTGTGTGCCAAAATGAAAAAAAGCCCTCTTCCTTTTTTAAAATCAGATTCACAGCATATCTGTAGCTCAAAAAACAGGGCAGATCAGGGTATCAATATAATTCAGGACGAGGCATTTTACTATGAAGTTGGAATATTTTGAAGAATGCTTCAGTTCATGCTAGTATATGTTAACAACACAGACCTGCCTAAATGATCTAACTGAAAAACAGGCTTTGATACTGTGATGGCATGTGGGAGGGCATGCCCTCAGGTGATTCTTTAAAATGTTCAAGAAGATCATATTATGGAACACTTGGCAAATTCTAAAGAAGTTTTTTGGGAGAACATTATACTTCTTACACCACCTCAACTTTCTGTATGCCAAGTAACATTTTTCCCACCCACAAACATTTTCCTCAGCAGCCCGTTGCCATGGCAATCCTAGCAACTGCGGGACAAGTCTCTTTAAAAAGATTTCTGACAACAACTGTATCTGCCAACTTACCACCACCTCTTGTCAATGTAATTACAAGTTGCAGACAAACCGTTATCCCCTAAAGCTTACTTCAAACTGTGATTGCTGGCTTTATTTCTTATAAGCACACATTCTTACATTCCCACACAAATAAATCACCGTAATATGTCTGTCCTGCTAGGTAAATGTACTTTTACAATCCATATATTTCTCCAGTGAGTTTTTAATAGAGATAAATAAGGAGGGGATAGCTCCAAAAAGGCTCAAGGACAAGCCTATGGAAATTACACAGATACTAAAACAAGCAGCCCTGCATTGGCTATCACTGCAAAATCTGCTTAGATGCCTGCAGTGTCCTGCAACCTTCACTTTCAGCTAAGCTTTCTGGCACCTTTTCTTCTGCTTACAAGCTGCTATGCCTTCCTTCTTTTCAAAATCTTGCATTAAGATACATCAGAACTGTCTGTCTCTCAAAATCAAACAAGGAAGAGCAAGCTCTCCAACCAACAATACTATTAATGCATAGTTTTCTACAGAATAATGTCCTAATTCCCACCACCATAGCATGCACATGTACACACATGTATTTCCTTTCCATCGAGTACCAGTACTGCCTGATGCTGAAAAGAGAAGAATTTAAATTTGTATTTTAGACATCCACTTCCATCTTCTGATATACCACCATCCGAGAAACTGAGCTAATCAGATCATTCACACCAGGTGCCCTATGACATTCCACTGGCTTGCTTTGGGCCAAATGTATGATTTCCAGTAAAATTCTGATTCCCTGAGCTGGTAGCTCCTCAGTCAGGGTGTCCTCTTGGGGTGCTGTACAGTGTTTGATCAGACCTGTTTACCCACTGTAGAACTGAAACTTTTACCTTTCAATGTTAGTTTTGTGTGACAGCTATTTTTTCCCCCTCATCTTTAGTGTTTCCTGGAGATGTGTATTTTTAGCAAGCCCTGCCTTGACCACCTCTTCTCCAGTACCTATTTTTTTGTATTCTGCCTGGGCAAAAATGGTACCATCTTTATGCTTGGCTTTGTGATATATTTTTATTTCTTTTTCAAAAACTGGGCTGCTCAAAAACTTCTTCCCCTCTAAAATAAAGATATCATGAAGTTGTATACTGGACACTCTGAAAACCTTAAGCTGAAATCCACCATTTGTCTTCTGAGCAAAAGGTGGCATCTTTAAAAACAAAACTCAAATAGCTGCACAGGTAAATCTTATGTTCAACACATTTATTCTGAAAAAATGTTATTATCTGTATAACTACAACTGTACCTGACCTAATCACTGTCAACATCAGACTGGACTTCAACATCAACAGCTCTCCCTCAATGTTCAGCCTTGAAGAATTCTGTATCATAACTGACAGAAGTCCAAAGTCCCATCGACTCTCAATAGAAGTTGGCAACTGGGTTATCCAGTTCTTTTATAAATCTGCTTTAATCAAACTATTCATGCAGAAATTGGGAAATGCCATAATTGGTAGACACCAGTTTCACCAAAGACAAACACTTTTGAAAGACTGGGGAATGTATTCAAGCTCTTTGCAAGACATCTGCAAGAAAGTTACCTTTTATTGACAGGGTTTTCTTCTTATTTCCCCACCACTTCTGAAAACCAGATGGTTTTGTTAAAAATTAAGAATGGAAGTTGTAGAGTCAGGAAAGCTACACAGAGCAAGCAAATAAAGCTTTAGCTCGAACAATAAGAACTACTATTAAAAAAAAAAAAAAAAAGAAAAAGAAAAAAGAAAAAAAAACCTCAAGGAATTCACAACAGAGATTTTTATCTGTCTTAAGAAATCACATTTAGTAATGTCAATAGGACCACGGGGATGAGGCCATGCACAAGGGTTCTTGGAATCTCTATGATAGATGAGGCAAGCTGGACAGATGCTTCCTGCTTCCTCCTCCTCCGGCAACATCTGCTCCCAAGCCACTGGCTAGTGAAGCACAGGCAGCGCCAGTGACAATCCTTGAAGTGGCAGGCTATGACTGTTAAAGGTGTCCCAGAAAATGAGACCACCACTAGTAAAACTTACCAGTCCTGTTGCCATCGTCTCCTGAGACTTGCATGTTCAGTGCTGGCCAGGCACAACAGGGTTCCTACTCCCACCTGCTATTTTTTCTCTTGACCAAAAGTTTGCATAGTACCCAGGCATTCAAGCAGCTCACAGATGTAAGTGAATTTATCACAGGTTCTGTGACCAAGGGAGGTGTGCTTTTCCTCTGAAGGGAAAGAAACAGAGGTACTTTGTTTCCTTAGTACCAGAAAGAGAGCTTGGGTCAGACAAAAATAGACTTGAGGCTCTGAAGATGGCAAAAGCGCACTCTAAAAATCACCTCCCCAGCACAATCTGAACCATTTTTGACAAAACCATTTAATTTCTAGAGTAGGTTCACAGCAACAGATCAGACAGTCCTTCCCAGCATGCCCTACCTTCACAGTTAAACAGAGGACTCCTCCTGGGAACACTCTGCTGGTATTTGGCAGCATCTGCTTCAGGTCAAGTAATCTAAATAAAATAAAATCTGTTACTCACCTGGTCACACATGTTTAAGTTCTGATCAGCTGGTCTCTGCAGTGCCCAGAGTCTGTACTTCTCACCAACACTGCAAACATTGCAAGTTTGGTGGAATTTTAACTGTGTTCAGTCTATTTGGAATTTAAGGTTTTCCACAGTCAGTGCACAACACCTGACACTGCATAATAAGATAAAATATAAATCAGCAGAGGTTATGAAAACCTCCTACAGGAATGTGCACTGACAACTACTAGAATATAAGCATGCTGAAGAGATCAGAATCTTCTGTACTGAGCCAAAATACACTTCAGAGAAAGGAACTGAGTTAGAGAAATCTCTTACGCTGGCACCTGCCTAAAAGCTTAGTGACAAAACCTTAAGTAACAAAACAGATCTCTGCTGGCAATTATTTTCTCTAAAGGCTTTTTATGGCCAGATATGTAATCTAATGTTTCCATGCCAAACAGCCTGTCTAGAAATGACCATTTTAAATAGGAACTACTGGCCCTCTGTATCAGTCTCATAATGCTGATGAGCAACTCTCTGAGGTAATTTCCATCAGACCCAAAACCTGTCATTACCCTTTGGATGTCTGTCATAGAACTGCTACTAAATATGTCCTGGTTATCTTCTCAAGAGTACTTTATCCAGTACATTCAACATTACAGATTTTTAAAAGATCTTTCACTCTTCTTGAGATGGAGTAAAGAACGACTTCTCTGAAATAAAGCATTGTGAAAGAAAAAGCATAATGTACAGTGGACAAAGAAACACAATTCAGCATTCTGTATATTACCTTATTGTAGTATTTAATGAGTGTTTAAAAAAAAAAAAAGAACAGTGTTTCTATAATTTTACTGAAGTGTGAAGCCCAGCAAAACTTGCTCACACAAAATAAGTGTTTTCTTTAGGAGAGCCAATAGTTCTTAAAAAGAACGTAGCGAATAGAGCCCACAGCATAATCAAAGATAAAGAAAATACCTTAAACAGTGGTTGAATAGAATTAAAGCTTTTATATCCAGGTGGGGAAAAAAAAAAACAAAACAACAAGCTCTTCACCTATACAAAAACTACTTACCTTACTAAAATCAGGTTTGCCAAAAACTGCATTAATCCAAGGACAAGCTTCAGTCAGCACACAACATATTTTCAAGAGGTCATTACATCTACTGACATTCAAAGTGTGGAGAGAGCGTAAAAGTTATTAACTGTCATTTTTAATAGATACTTGATGGCTTATAACAGCCAAAAATTAAATCAAAACAGTCACACAGCTGTTGAGACAAGTAATGCCCCACCTTAATCTTTCAGTCTTCATGATTTTAGGTACACTTGCAAGCCTGCTCTCAATTTCTTCCAAGAATTAATGAAACAGATCTGGGCAGGTAATGTACCCCAGAGAAATAGTTTGCAAAGAACAATTTTAACAGTTTAATTACCAGCTAGCTGTCTGCAGATCTTACTTACCAATCCTCACAAATGTTAGTATTCATGTGGTTTCTGTTTTCTTTCGCTCCTTAATAAAAGGAGACAACAGCTCTTCCATACCCCGCGTTCTCTTTACATGCAGACTTGGGTTTTGGTTTGGCTGAGAGGAGAAGAGTTCTTCCACTTACAACTTACCTGAAACACTGTAAAACTAGGTCAATTCCAGTAACATGGCTTTCAATAGACACCATTCTACTCATAACTCAAAAGAAAGCATCCAGAGCTCAGAGATGGAAAGAAAACACTCGTGCAACCAAACATTTAGTTAACCATAGAAGCACACTCCTAGCTTTTGTACCTTACAATATTAAAAAAACACTGCAACTGAGTTTCAGAACGCCAGGAGGAGAATTAAGTATGACTATTACATATAAAAACCCCTTTATTAGAAAAAGCTATTCCATAAACAGAATGAGTAAAGTTTGGTCCCTCTTCCCAAATTCCTACTTGGAACATGACAAGGAGCATTACCTCCACCAACTGGCTCAAAGCTACATGGATGTTGACCAATATGCACACACCGATTAGCCTGCAGACCAAACAGGAAAGGTAAGCTGTGGAACTCCTTCTGGATTTTCCCCTCTCCCTGCTGCACTCTCCCATCGAAGAAAACTATTAATTGTTTGGGGTTTTTTAGTTTTTCTCGCTCTCCCCATCTACACAAAAATTGACACTTTTTGGGTAGGAGATCCACCCTCATCAAGATTCCAACTGCCTCCTACAGCATTTGTTAGTCAATAGCAAGTATTTTAGTCATTTTTTTTTTTTGAACTACCAAGTATTCAAGAAAGTGTAGCTACAAACTTATTTGTCCAACATATTCTCAGTCATCATGCGTTCACTGGATGAAAATTCTTTTTGACGCTTCAGAAAAGAATAACTGTTTAAAACTTCCCTTTAAAAGGGAATAATAATACTTGCAATTCTGAAATCTAAATTAAATTATTTTTCTTTTTCCAACATCAAATGCTATCGATTATTCTCACTTATACAGAAACTTGCTGAGGGGGAGGAGATAAGATTAAACATCTCAACTAAAATCAAATAGTTTTCTGAATTAACCTGCACCCAAAATGTTACAGCTTCTTCAACATGGCAGCCCACAACATGTTCAAGGCCAGGTTGGATGGGGCTTTGAGCAACACAGTCTAGTGAAAAGTGTCCTTGCTCATGACGGGGGTTTAGAACTAGATAATCTTTAAGAGCCCTTCAAACACAAACTATTCTGTAATTCTGTGATATTGAGGGAAAGAAAAAAATACATTTTCCTCAAGCATAGGATTGTGTACTTGTTTGTTTCAAAAAACACCCCACTTCACCTTTGTCATACTCAGTGTCTCTATTTGTGACAAAGGATTCTGAAATCTGTTGATGAGTCTGATTCATCATCCGCAAAGTTAAACATTCTGAAGATGAGGTGTGGCAGAGCTGATAAAGTGCCTGATAAAGGAACAAACAGGTGATACTATTGAGAACTTACGCTGAGCTGATACAGCTGTCCTGGAGACATCTTACTGACATTCAATCACTCACTGACTGACAGTCAAGCCCAGTCCCACTTTCTAATAGCAGGGTCTTCTAACATATCCCTTTTTGAAGTGCATGTGGAGATTACTCCCTTGAGTGAGGCTGAGCAAATGAGATTTCCCCACAGTTGTTGGTATGGGTGAATAGCATCAATCTCTACTTAATAATTGTCTTTGCTAGCTGTAATATAACTGATTCAATATTGCTTCAAAATACTGCACTGTACTATCCTAGTAGTTACAGCTTCTATATACTAAATAATTCTGATTAGGATATATTAGTCTAATCCTTATCATAATAAATATTTTTTATATATATAAATGTATCTGGTTTGCCATCCTTAATTCTGCAGGATAAAGTTGTACAAAAGTTCAGTTACATCTGTATGATTGTTTAGACATAGAACGTTGAGCAAGTCTGGGGCTAAGATTGGATCCAGACCCAACTAGACTCCTGAGCAGGAGTTCAGAAAGCAAGTGGTCCTTGCTGTACCTTGTGACTCAGCAGGAAGGCTTCTTTAATAAACATTGTTTGAAGCTCCCATTCTGCCCATGACACAGATTTTCGTAGGCAACATGTTATGGTTGAGACTGGGACCTTCCCTAGAGAGGAAAGAACCCGTGGGATTAGTGCCCAGCTATGCCAGACAGTGAATGTAAAACCAGTGTGAAGCAAGGAATGATTCACTCCAGGAGAAGACAAATGCTAAATAAAAAAAGAGTAGGCTTCCAGGCAAAAGTAGTATATTTAGTTACCCAAAAAACACCCGACAACAGGTACACCTGTGCAAGGTCTTTTAGACTGGAAAAACTTCGGTTTTGTTTTCAACTACTTTTGTGCTAAGAAAAAATACTATCACTACCCGCAAAGTTGTCTCTTTTTTTCTTAGGTCACATGGCTACAGACCACTTCTAGAGAGAGGCTCCAGGGACATACAGCCACAAGACCACCAATCGTTTAATACACACATGCTGTAAAGACACTGATAGCTTGACAAAGTAAATCTGCACGGGTGCTGTTACTGGTTGTGAATTCACACGTCACATTCCCCTTCCTCCCAAACCTGAGACAGACAGACATGGTTTATATTTAGCATCAGAAACACACAAGATGGGAATGAGATCCTTGCCCTCCACTTAGGATCACTGACCCGTGTCCACTCTCACAAATAGCCAAGGTACATCTAAGCCTCTTCACAGGATGACTAAAACTAGTGAAAAAATGCTATTCTACACTCTAGGAGTGTGATAATAATGACAAAATATTGATTTGAGTGCCAGCTATTTTAAAAATGAGACATGCTTAAGCTTTGCCCAAGACCTATACAATTAGGCTTTAACACTTTAGAGCACTCGTGTGTGTGACAACAAACCCTTTCCCTCACGCCTGATTCCTTGGATCAGGGTCAGAAAGCGTTAATGTGTCTAGCTGAAAGACTGATATAAACCCACCAATAAATCATACACACGAATTGTAACTTATCTGTTCTATGACACTTTGTTCAAAGTTCATGGCTGCTCTCGGGAAAACAAACCATCAACAAGTACCAGTTAAAATGAGCTCTTTATTTAATGACAACTGTTAATGGCAAACACACTAGCATTTGGTCTCTGCTTTTATATTATTAAAAAAAATAATTTTGTAATAGGTGTATGAAGAGATTTTTCAACAGAACTAGAGGTTGTAGTTTTGATCCTACACATTTATTTTTTTAGGATAAATTCAATTTTCACTTAAGACATGACATCCGTGTTTATTTTTCACAGCCAGCAGTATTGAGATATATTGTGCTTGGTTTTTCATGTATAGATATAAATAAAATTCCAGAAAAAAAAGTATTATGTGAATACCAAGAAGCTGAAAGTATGCCCTATAGTAAGGAAACTGAGTTCCTTGGACATCATCAACATGAGTGAAAAGTGGTCAGAACTCCTAAGCAATATTTAAATGCAGTTGATATTTTTATGATCCAACATGTTTTCCAACAACTAATACCATAAAATAAATGTAAGAATGTTATCATATGATTTAAGTGCAAATATTAAATAAATTTAAGCACAGAAAAAAATTTTTTAAAATTATTTTAACAAAACTAGTTCATGATGATAAAAATACAGCTTAGTAGGACTGAATTTGGCAGAGCTAACATTTAAAACTGACAAATATTTTCAACTTATAATGGCAAAAAAGCACAATACATTATTTCCTAAGACTTATCAGTATAAAAGCGAATGCAAAATACAAATTTATTGCAACTATTAAAACTTCTACCTTTAAAAATATTTCTCTGTGAGAAAGCTCATCCCTGAAACACACACAAACATTTCCAGAACTGCATTCCCTAGTGGGTATAGTCACGGGGATATATACAAAACTAGAATAAACTTCTGCTATTAAGTTTGTGATAATCTCTCTCAAAACTGAAATTTTTTTTCTGTATTTTCAGTTACCTTTTTTTTTTTTTTTTTAACCAGTGTTATTTATATTTGGGTTTTTTCCATTGTGATTCCATTGTGAAATCTCCATTTACTCACAAGGCCAAGCAGAGGATATGTAGAACAGATTGCCTGCCAGGGCCAGAAGAGGGAGCTCAAATTAGTATTTTCACTTATTAGGATAAAGTAGCATGTACCTGTATAAAATTTAACAGAAAAGGTACTTTCATAACTTTTATAATTAATTAGACTCTTTGATGTATTATGCATTTAAACTAAAGTAACAGATTAGCCTGTCCAATCCACATCTGCAGTAACAGCTGTATAGGTAGCAATTAAGGCAAATGACCCTCCTAAATCTTTGAATTTCAGCAACTGAGCCTTCCACTCCCATCTCACTCAGATTCCAGCTGTCTCCATCACTCACTGTATGACCTACATGCACTCCTAAGAACTCTCCTTCCCTACCACAGCTGACACCTGAAAAAAACCCAAGTTGTCCTGCACTAAATGCCTTCAAACTCACCTCTTTTCCTTTGCCAGTCAGGCACATAGAGGTTTTTTGTCCGATGGGAAATAAAGCTTTGCAAGCTTCTCCCAGTTCTTGTTGTAAAGTCTCAGTACATACATACCATATGTACAGTCTCCAGTCCAAGAGACATCTTCAAGTATTTTTAAGGACAGATTGACTTACATCACTCTGTTTTCAAAGGAGAATAAGTTAGCTCAGGCTCTGCTTTTATCTCCTAAGCTGCACCCTCTGCCAGTTATTCTGTACCAATTCTTGCTGTGTCGCTTCACAGAATTAAACCATCACACCAAGTCACCAAATTTTGTATTTTCCTGTCCACTACCTTTAATACAACATAGGCTGCCGCAGCTGTGCATATGGACAAAGAATACAAAAGCACATCTCCTCAGTCTGTGTTGGATTAGACATGATGATTCTGCTGGATAAATAAGTTTGTATCAAACACTATACAGTTATTTATTTACACGCAATAAATAACAGATCCATTTACACTTAAGGTTTTCAGAAGTTTAGTGTAATAGTTGTTATGGACAGTAACAGACAAGCAGAACTGGGAGAATGGTACCACCAGAGAAATCTGGGATAAAGTATACAAGCAAGATCCCTTCAAGTAGCTCATAAGTGTGGAAATGGATTTACAAGTGTACAGAACACCACATGTAAAAAAATATTTATATGATGGCAAGAACAGAGCCTAGAGAAATGTGAGAGAAGAAGGGTATGTTTGAATTTTATGTAAAGGCAATGAAACCAACAGAAAGGGAAAAAAATTTAAAGGACATATTAAAATGTCAGTATTAACAAAACAAATCTTAACAAGTAAAACTCCGTGAACAAGATGAATTCAAAGGGCTCTACAAATAAAGAAAATAAGTTATAAAAGTCTAAGAGTAAAACATATATTTTCTTTGTCCTTTGACAACCTAATATTTAAATACATGATTATTCTCTCAGACCTTAAATAACAGTTCTGCAACTCTCTAAATATGATTTTCCGTTCTCAAAGAAATATCTGTGTAACAGTTCTGGAGATTAGAAACACATTGATTAAAAAACCAATTTTATTATAACAAGAAAATTAAAAATTAAGTTCAGCAAAATAACAAAACAGAATAAATAAATCAATAAACACAAGTATGCAGGTAGGCACAGAGAAAAATACTCAATGCAATGCTGAGCAGTGTGCCAAATAATAAATATTTATTTATTTATTAATCTCATGGCTTCTTTGATGGCACTGGGCTTTTCCCTCTCCGTTTAGCAGCTTTCTCCATTTTCAGCTGTAACAAGAAAAAACATCAACAGTGGTCAAAGAACTAATTTGCAAGTCAGCTAACAATGCAATATTAAATTGCTACATGCAGCCACAAATTTACTGGAGTGATACATGCAGTGAAGAGAGCTACAGAGCATTATTAGCCCAACCTAGCATTGCTTATGTTTCCACCATAGGACAAAGGAGCACTTTCATAGCTCTCCTGTTCCTCCCCAACTCAAACCAGGGCTGCCTTATTTCTGATAATGGCAATCTAGGTATTTACGTATCCCTCAAGGCCAGTGTGCCTCACAAATGTTCATGGGTTTGTCTTTGTGTCAGTGAAAGGTAAAGCAGCTTTATTACAGGTGTCTAACAGATACAGTTAGATGAAACAGCATGCACAAAGTCACAAAGGAATGGTGCAGAGATAGACGCTAAACCTCCATCTCGGTGTCTCCTCACTGACCCACAAGCTCACGACTTCCTCTCGTGAGATTTTTTCTACACAGTAGGCTCCTACAGCATGGTATGATTCAACAACACATATACATTTAACTCTGCCGTTTTGTAGTAAGACTATTAATCCAAACTAATATATCTGTTGTTCTCAAGTATTGTTATATTAGTGAATGAAATTATATTTAGAGTAATTACATAAAAAGAATGCATGGACTTTTGCATCTGATAGTAGATATCACACTGCTAACAAAAATGCAAGAAAAAAATAAATTAACATGCTTTTTCCCCCTCATAAAATAACGTCGAAAGGAAGTCAAGCCTCATTCCTCATCTGGATGTCCCTACAAATGAACTCACTGCTAAGCAATCCTGTTGGTCTACACAGGAGCTGATTTTAAAACATTTTTCCTTATTTGGAGGCTTGAAGTTTGTAGCTGAAATTCCTACTACCTTTTGCAAATACAATAAAATTGGGGAGGAGGAATTTGGATTTGATAGTAACATGTTTTCTATTAATTATTATAATACTTTTGACCATATTTTGTGATGATTTCCAAAATAAGGAAAACTATTTAACATTTCACAAAGCTAGAACAGCTTTCTCCTTAACAAACACCTTGTTGCAAGCACCAAGCATAACAGCTTTCGATTTTAAAAGTTCATTACACAACACCGCCTTACAAAAGAATTCATAAACAGTCAATACACACTTCAGCTGAGATGGCGGAGTTAAGGAGCTAATGTGGGGAAAGAATAGGTATTTAAGCATGTAAGCAATCTATACCACCAGGAATTTAAATTTAAGATAGTCACTGGGGTGGAAGAGACACCTCTAAGGGAGTGACACAGATCATCTAAGAAAGACAGACCAGATTTAGCCTAACTTATTCAGACATTCGTTAAAAACAAAAACACCATGAATTTTATAAATGACATAACAAACACACCGTCCTAAATGTCACAGGGGACTTTCTGTGAGTCTGCTCTGTTGTTTCTTTTTGTCACATAGTAAAATATTTTGGTTTTCTGTAATGGAGGGTTAATTCAATTAAAATCTGCCCAGTTAAGGTAAATGGCATCCCACATGACTGACCTCTGAAATCCTGTAATAGGTCTTAACTGTATTTAAAACATTATGTTAAGAAGCTAGTGCTTACAGGAACAAGAGAAGGAACTATAGAACACATTCATATGCTACTTAAATCACACATGTATCTTTTTTCGACATCCTCTTGTGAAAGTGTATTTAAATTAGGCAACAAATGTAGTAACTTGCCCGTTCTTGATAACGTTTTTCAAAGTAAGCCATGTCATCTTCTTCTGAAGGTTTTCCATAAGAAATTTGCCCTGTAGCACTTGAACTACCTGAAAAACAAAACAAAACAAAACAAACCCCCAAACAAACAAAAAAAACAACAACAAAAAATATAACTCTTTCATTAAGGATATTTGTTATTCCATTAGTTATGTTTTACATTTGGCAAAATACATGTTTAATGAGAACTCATCTTTACAGGCAAGTACAAAACACATCAGTTGGGATCAAACAGAAACCTCTTTAATCTAGGCTAGCAGCTATTATAAACTGTCTTGGAGAAGTTCAACAGTTATAGTAATTGCTAAATTTTTATACTAAACAAAGCACATAAAGTAGGCACAACTGATCTATAACTCCATCTAGAAAAGACTTTCTGGCAGAAGGCAGTTTCACAGGATTATGCTGAATATGTGAAACCCGTTCAGATGTGATGAGCTTCTAGTAGGAATTAAAAATTTTAAAAACTGACCCAATGAATACGTGACACCATTAATGAGGAAGATAACAAATCCTAGGAGAAAATCATTTAAGGTAAAAACTACATCATGAGCAAAAATAACAAGCATTAAGAAAACAGTTATTCTAAGCATTTCAAATACATGAATGTTGTACTAACTTTTCACATAACAAGGCTTCAATATTCAATGTTTAACTTTTATTTTAGCCCAAACCATACTTCAATTAATTAATAAAATAATTTAATTTTATATTATATTCTTTTTGTATAACAGTATTATCCTACTTATACATCACCTGCTCTCTGTGAGATGGTTTGAGTGGAACTAGAAGGCCCCTGAAATGCTTTTAGAAATGGATGATCCATGCTGGTAATGGGAGCTTCTAAAAGTTCAGCAGAAGGGGCACCTGTTAGAAAAAAAGTCAAATGGAAACAATAATTAACTTCATGAGATAGATTTCTGACATACATGACGGGGTCAAAACAAAGCTACAGATTCATATCTACAATTCTCAGTGCAGTCCTCATAAACTTGAGTTAACAAAAGCATTATAAGGCTGGCTTAGAAAGAAATGGAAAGCTTTGTTTCTTTAGTTACTATGGCAATACCATAGTTTCTAAACTTCTGACAAACCCAGGAAACCAGATCAGAATTTTAAAAAGAAACAATGAATATATGACAATTATAGATAAAACGGTATTTCAGGACAAAATGTGTCCATTATTAAATGGCACAAAACCACAGAATACCAGAAGTACCAAGACTAACATGTCTGTTTTATGAATTACCTCTGGTTTTTTAGGCTGAACAGCTATTAACCTTTGAGTTTGAAAACAAAAATGCTGTAAATATATAACCAAGAAATTCCTGGGCACATTTAGGCTAAAGGATTAACATAAATATAATGTGGAAGTATTAAGAGAAAAAGAGAAGCTACAGTTCTTTCTAAAAGATATGCTGCATTTCAACCAAAAGAAACTGGGCTGAACACCAGAACTGGTATTTAAAGAGTTAATTTATCAATTCACTACAGGAGGTTGGACAACATGGTCACAGTGATCTCGTCACACCAAAACACTGCTGGAAAAAAAAAATCTGTCTGCCTTCGTACTCCTATTGATCCAGTTTGCCTTCAAACTTTGAAAATCTATTTTGATTTAGTACTTTTCAAAACTACGTAGGCGGAGAACTAAAACTTCACCTCAGGTCAGCCACACTTACCTATTCCACTGTCATCGAGTCTCATGTAGCCTTCTGCTAGTGAACTGAAACCAGTCAGTCCTCCCATAGCAGCATAAGGAACATCCTGCCCCACAGGCTTTCCTTGGGCTAAGCGCTCCTCTTTGGTTTCCACAACCGTTTCATGAGCGTACGCTGGCTGACCACATGCACACGTAAAGCAACTATGAAAGCCTGAACACTTGGAACCTAATAAAAAGATAAAGGAGTGAGATGATAACGGAATTTATACCTCATTGCTGACAACATGATTTCCCTAAACTGATCCTTGTAAAAAAATAGAGTTCCTTCACTACAAAAGCATCCAGCTATATCAAAAAATCGTATAAACATAAAGGATGACTGTGGAGATTAGATCATAGAGCCCATCCAGTCACAAGGTCTCATTCAGTCAAGTTTCAAGTACCTCTGAGGATGGTGATTCCACCTCTCTGAGCAGCCTGGACCAATGCTGGATCAGACATTTCTTTTCTGATATCTAACTATATTTCCTATGTTGCAACTTGTGTCCATTGCCATTAACAACACTCCCCTCTATCCACTGACAAAGAACAAAAGGATAAGAAATTCTGACACTAGGTAAAGATGACAACCTGGCAGCATTTTGGCAGTATTGCCTTCAAAGTTGTACGGCACATGACAGTGTTGAATGGCCAAAAAAACTTCACATCACAATTTATTATATAAATCTCAATTTAAATGTCGTTTTAAATTAGCAAAAGTATCTCAGTAGTAAACAGAGGCTGTGGTAACAGCAAAATGGGTTCTACACAAAAGTACTGTTAGACTGACTTTCACAGGGGTTTTTAACCTTATATAGTCATAGGATGTAACTGAAATAGTTATACAAATGTCATGTGATATTCAGAAACGGACTGGAGTGAAGTGACCTATCTGCCCTAAACTCGGGGATAAAACTGTCATCAAAGCCCCACTGCAGCAACAATGTGATCAAGAAATTGAGGAACTGACTTTGCAAATATTTCATTATACAAATTAGTCTGCTTCCAACTCACAGTTCGTTTTGTAGAGCACCAAGAAAGATTTTTTTAAGTCTTGCATAATAGGCTCAAGGATCATATTCTTGAGAATGTTAAAGGCTTTTTCATATAACTTTGTGCACTCCTTGGTACCAGAGCTCTGTATTCTGTGTTTGGACACAGAATGCAGTGTATATGACACATAAAGTGCAACAGCAGTATTTTCAATTGTAATTTATCTATCACACTGGATTGATCAACACTGAACTAGACTAATGCCATTACATTAAAACAACATAAGTCCAAAACAGAAGCAAATCTTGGTACTTCTCTGTGACATCTGTGAATCTCTCAGAAGTGTCCAGTATTTTTGAGAAACACTAAAAAAAGTGCATAATATAAATTATTATTGAAAACACTGTGTTCTATGGATTCAGTCTGAATTGTCCAATTGCACATTTAAGATTCTCGCATTACTTAAAGTTTTGAAAGGCTGTCATATAAGTATTTTATGGTTTGTTCTGTGGGATATGATTCCCAAACAGTAAAAGCTGTTTACAGTTTTTTTCTGTACAAAATAGAGACATTTTATGAAAGAAATTTAACAACAAAACTCTAGCAAAAAAATCTTCGGCTTACATAATTTGAGGTTTCAAACTAGAACATCTTTGTGCATTATTTATTTTATGTGGTTAATAACTACTGCTGTTTCATAACATTAACCTCAAACAACTGAAGCAAAAAGCTTCCTCTTAATCCCTTCTCAAAGCTCTTCCTTGAAACTCCATTCCCATTTGCATTTCTGGACCCACAATCTCTATGCTCAGGGACTGCTTTGTTAGAGCACTAACAACAGTATTATTTGGGAACACAGCGCTACTTCCTAAGGAGTTGAGAAAAGGTTCATTAACATTATATTCAACTAGGCAACAGAGGAATGGAGATCAACCCTTCTCTCCCTCAAACTACAAAGTTCAGGTAGAAAAGTCATGTGTGTGCAGGTGGAAGTGACAAACTGCAAGTGCGGTGCTTTCACACTGCCTGACTTCAGGCATCTGTCTCCATAAGCACCTAACCGAACCATTTGGAAACTTACGCTCCTTCACAGGACTTGGGGAAACCAAGCTCCTTGTTCTAAACCCTCCTGCAAAAAGTGATGTCTTCCTTCCCGCTTCTCATCCTTCTTTGAGGATCACAATACACATCAGCGACAAGTACAGCTATACCTCATACCCAGGAACGAATACAGATCCCTAACTCGCTGTTCCTGATGAGTTCCCTAGCAAAAAATGCTGCAACCCATCCGTAACTTACAAGAGTTACATGGAAATCCAGGTGCTGCACTGTGCTGATCAGCAAAGTGTTTGCATCTACAACGGATGGGCTGTGTGCCATTCAGAGGGACATAGTGGTAGGACTGGCACGGACAACCTCTCACTCTACAAGGCACACAAATAGGACGCTCTTTCGGAAGTACTTCATAGTCCGTTTTGTGTTGTTTATACCTAAAATGGGTAAAAATAATAGCTTTCATAACTTTGTTAGTATTTATCAGGAAAGTAACTGAGAGGCTTATAATTTACTTCACAAATTTGGTTTTTAAGTATCCTTAATTATATTACTGTTGGTTTTTAATGAAATGCACAATATCAACTGCTTTTACAACTATTTATTACATAAATATCACAGATCTTTATGTTTCATTTTGACACCAGTATGAGAATCAATACAATCTACAATAACTCATGCCTTAAAGCTGAATTTATTGAAGACTGTAAATCCATTTTGGTCTCAAAAATTTATTGAGATTTAGACTTAAGAACAGTTCTTACTATCTAAAACCTTATTTTCTCAACCCTCAGGCCTTAAATTAAATTGCTTATATGGTACTGTAATGCATCTGGAAATACTTCACATTTTCCTTATTTTTAAAAATACAGTGCTATGAAAAAAGAAAAGCTACCTACCGGTGTGTACAAAAGCACAGCGTCTCTGGTCCCACAAGCTTACAGTCCATGCCAGTTGGTGATCTCCAGCTCACATACAACCTGTTCTGTAACCTAATGGGTAGTACTTTTCTTTTGTACTCCTCATATTCCTCAGGAGTAAAGAGTTTTCCTCCATCATCATCACCTACAATTCTGTAAACATGTTATAAAAAGAACCATAAGGATATGAAGACAATAAAAGTAGATTTCTCCAGATATTTTTCAAATAACATATAACAGTACTTTTGCTGTAAATGCAAAAGAAAATCTTGTGTTTCATAATACTGTTCTAGTGATATACATTTAACAGAACTATAACTGATCTTTAGAGAAATTTTGTGAATAATGCTCTTTTGAAAAAATTGCTCTGACAGACTGAAAAACAGTTTTGTAAGACAAAAGGAAAAAATAAAGGCAACTGCAAAGCACTCCTTTTCATATGGCAGAAAAAGCAATGAGTATCAAGGGTCATGTAACCAGCCAGCTCTGCCTCAGACTTCTTGAATGATCTCTGGTAAGTCACTTCACCCATTTACACCTAACTGTACTGCAGACTTGTTTGTATCAAGTGATCTAATCTAATTTCAGAGTAACTGCAAGAAGGAAAACAAAACTGCCATCAAAGTAACAAACAACACATCCAAGTTAGAAGACAACTTGCAAGAAGGCTATGATAGTTTCTGTAGCTGTATCCCACAACTCAGACAGGCCCACTTGCTTAAGCTATCACTATGTTCAAATTCAAGGTCATTGAATATCTGGCTCCACATTCTGCATTTATAGAAACAATTGATGACTGTAAGCAAAACCTGTAAAATACACTTAAGACTTAATTGCAACACTTACTTATGCTGGAAGTTAGTTTATTAATGTCTGTAAATATTTCAGTTATTATTTGTTGGGTGCGCTAAAACACACTGAATGTGTCAAATATTCTGTGGATTTGTGCATTGCCAGTACTGTACAGCACCAGAATAATGTGCCAACATATTGCTGAGATTTGCACATCAACCCTGCCAACGCCCACTGAATCACTCTATGTCTTATATAAGAAATACTACTGTGCCTTCCTCTCGTGTTTTACTGAAGGTTTTCCTAAGCTGAGATTGCATTTCAGCACAATGACTGTGTTCACGTTTATTTTTGCTCAGCCTTTCGAGAGGAGTGCTGACGAGATTAGCAAAGACACGCAAAGTAGTATGAGGGGTTTATAGAGTGCAAAACTAGAACTCATGATGCACGGAAGTCCGTGTTTTCTGAAAGAGCAATACAGCTGTCAGATTAGCACAGAATGGCTTGAGTGGAAGGGACATAAAAGATCACGTAGTTCCAACCTCCCTGCTATCCCATATGGCCTCTCACAGCACATCACACAGACACGCTGCCGGGAGGGCCTGGATGCGATGAACGACGCGTTCCTTCGCTGCTGATACAAGGTTTACGCTATGCCCGCACCAAGGCACACCACCCACGGCACCTCCGGCTGCGACACTGAACGGCGGGCGGTGGATGTGACCCAACGCAGCCGCCACAGAACCCGAAGCAGCGGATTCAGGAGGGCGGGAGGCGAGCGCGAGCATCTCTTCGGGAGGAATCCCGGGCCGCGGGCCGGACACGGGGGATGCGGCACCGCTGCCGCCGGCACCCGCCCCAGCGACCCCCACCGCGCCGCCCCTGTGCCCTCACCGCCGGTACTCCGCGTACTCTTCCAGGGCCTCCGGCTCCACCTGCAGCCGCTCCATGACCGGCCCAGCCGCCGTCAGGGCGCCGGGAGCGCCGGGCGCCGCCCGCGCACGGAGCGCGGCAGGCGGGAGGGCAGGCGGGAGGGCAGGACAGGCGGGAGGGCAGGCGGGAGGGCAGGCGGGAGGGCAGGGCAGGCGGGAGGGCAGGGCAGGCGGGAGGGCAAGCGGGAGGCAGGTGGGATGCAGGCGGGAGGGCAGGCGGGAGGGCAGGGCAGGCGGGAGGCAGGCCGAGGGGCAGGCGGGAGGGCAGGGCAGGCCGGGGGGCAGGCAGGAGGGCAGGGCAGGCGGGAGGCAGGCCAGGGGGCAGGCGGGAGGGCAGGGCAGGCGGGTCGCCCGCAGCACGCACCGCACCGGTTGCTGAGAAACGTGCGTGGAAGTGCGGGGTGTGCGCCGCCTACACGGGCACGGCGAGCCCGCTTGCGCAACGGAGGGAGCTAGGCGGTAACCCCCAAAAGGCTCACCGGTCATCAAGACTTTACACTGTTTATACACTTCAACAAGGGCATCAGCACGCATTGGTTACAAGTTACATAACTTGTCTATTAACACTCAAAACCCTATTTGCTAATTACATCTCTCGCTTCTCATGAGAATTAGTCTGCAGGTGCAGTTCTCTCCATTTCAATCTGGGGTCTGTTTTGAGTAGGTGGTCACGATCGCCCACTGGCAGAATTACCTTTCCTGGAATTACTGCTCAGTTCTGCTGACTTCACTACTGGTGGCTCTTGTCCAGACGACCCATTCATCTTGGGATTGTCTTCTCTTTTCCTTAAAACAAAAGATTCACCAAACATACAACATTCACAATGCAATTGCTTAATCATAACTGTCTAGCTACAGCTACTGATTAACAAACAAACAAACAAACAAAAAATTGCAAAGTTTGATTCAAATCTTGAGCAGTTCAAATCTTGAGGGGTTTGATATCAAGGACAGGCTATATATATACATGGTGCACACAGCCCCCAGGAATGGCAGTCATCCCCCACACCTCTCCGGATGGACACCCTCCCTGAGTGGCAGTGCCGGGGCACAGGTACATGCATATCCACAGATGTGTGTGTGCAGATCCGTGCACCTGAGGTGCCTCAGAAAGGCATCTACAATCACGGGTGCCACCAGCCATGCAGCACATTGTGTCCATGCAAGCCCTCACGGCACCTGCTCTGCACTCGCGTTGTCCTCAGCTGCTGCTGCTATTTAGACCACCACATTCCTGGTGAGCAGGTGACAGGTATTTTGGGTTGGTCACTGATTCCCCGTCACTCTTCCATTATAAAATAAATATATGTTCCATTGCAAAATGTGTATTTTTTTCATAGTTCAAGACAACAGGAGGCTAATTTTGGGAAACTCTGCTAACCAAAGATGGTTTTTAGATCTAGGCAACTTCCAATTCCCACTTCCTCTCCATGTGGCACAAGCAATGCCACCACATTGGAGCAACTCCTCTGATGTGTTTGAGGGCTGTAGTGAATACACCACAGACTGCTCTTTCAGGTACTGCTCTATCCGTGTAAATTACTGCTTCGCCTTGCTACAAACACCCTGGCCACAAAGTGACCAAATATATGAGGAAAAGATGTAATATGTTTTCTTTATCTGAGCTTTATTGGTATTTAAATTGTGGTCTGCCTGCTAGCACGAGCCGCAAACCCTCAGACTGTCAAATTGAGACCCACAAGAAGAGGCTTTTTCCATTCCATACAATGACACTTGCCTGGCAATAAAAAGGTAGAGCAATTCAGGGAAGTCTCCAGATTGTTTTGAACTGGACGAGCCACAAGCAATGAAGCAGAAGGTGAAGAGGAATGTCACCAGGACGATGGCAGTGTTTTGCCAAAACATCCCCCAGAGAGAGATGAAACAACAGGGACACTCTCGGGTGTCCAGCAGTATCCAAATAAGGTGACAGGGCATATGGTCTGGGCATTTGTCCTGTGGCTATGCCACATGTATAAGAAATTTCAGCAGAGGAGACAGCACTGCAAAGCAACACACACTTTCTGTCACACTGCGATCTGAGCACTTTTAAAGGCAGAAATTATATGGGAGCAAGTCCTCACTGCAGTCAATGTATCTTCAAGTAAGCTAATAGAGGAAAATAAAATCCCACCAAAAAAAATCAGGATTATTTCTCCAGGGAAAATTCCTCCTCTGACCATAACTTTGAGAAAGAAACAAATGGGGGAAAGGGGACCTTGAAGGCAGGACAAGAAGCTCTGCAGACAGGGAGTTTTAACATAAAAAGTAACACACTGCTGCACAGGACCTGCACAAAACTGAAGATCTTTGAGATACCTTATCTGTATGCACATTTTGCTGGTGCCAAAGATCCCAGCATTGCCAATAAAGGGGGGAAGGGGTGGAAAGAGCTCTGGCAAGCTTGGTTCACACAGAATGAGCAGAGCTCCTATGGCATGGGTTGATGTGCCTCATCTGTGCAAGATCTTTGTTAAAAACAGTGCTCTGAAATATAGTTTGGGTTTGGAGAGCAGAGCCAGGTTTCTGAGTAAGGCAGCTTCCAGTGAGGGCTCCAAATGTTAGTCTGTATTGCACTTTAGCATCAGATTACCTGTGAACAGTCAGTGAGAACTTATCCAGAGCAGGAAATAAGTCATTTTTTGGTGAGGCATCTGTCCTGTGAACTACCTCCTTTCACAGAAATTGAAGATTTATTTCTGGATTTGATCACAGCAAGTTTTTTATGCAATACAGACAGTGTTCAGCTTATTAGCATCCAGGTCTTACTACCTACCTACCATTTGAGAGACCCCACTCAAGATCTGCTTGAATCAAATATCTGGATCCATAGACTTACTTGGGAACAGGTATGAAAGGTGAAAGACTTTGTCATTGAGAAATGGAGTTCTTTGCTAATAAAGGTATTTCAAACACTCACTGTTTTACTGTCATAGCATGAGTATAGGAGTACATTTTGGACTCAGAAAAGCCTCTCCCATCTCTCATCTCTTCTAAGAGATTGTTAATAGACATCCAAAATACAATTCATTAAAGACTGAGTCAAACCAGATTTTTCATGCTAAACTACCAAATAATTTTGAGTAGCAAGGAAGAAAAAAAAAAAGGCTTTCTGCTCCCATGAAGAAGCCATGACACAAGGTAAGTAAAAAGAACAGGAATCCAGATGGCATGTTTTACCTCCTGTGGTTGTGATGTAGCATATGGATGCTGCTGGCCCAAGATCTCTGAACACATCAAAGTGGGTTGAACATATGGACACTTACTTATAGTACAGTTCTGTGAGACCTAAGGTACTGCCTACACAGCAAAGGCAACAGCTTAATGCTGCATGGGGTGTTGACAGTCTCTCTCAACACCCTCTGTTAACAATAAAATGTGTGACCCTTTAAATTTTTTGAAATCCTTACAAGTTTGACAAGTGCTTAAAAATATTCTCAGTGAAATACCTATGCAAATTGAAGATAGCCACTTTATTAATGCAAGAATAAATAATTTAGAAAAAAACTGTTTTAATATTTTGGACCTCAAGTCATTATTTTGAAGTAGTAGTAAGTCATTCTGTTTCTATGGATCTGGTCAATGACTATCTAATCAACTCTTCTGGAAATGAGAATTAAAGTGGCAAAAAGAATAACATAAACAATTTCCATTAAATTGTTCCCTCCATCCATATTTGTAACCAATATTCTGATATACTTGAAGGCAAATCAAAGCTGTACTTACTTTTATAAACTTCTAACCATGACCATACGTTATGCTAAAATAAAAATTAGGTTTTGTATTATTAATCCTAATTTACAGTATTTAAAAATGACAGCATGTTTCTCTTCAGTTTCACTATGAGAAAAACAGAACATGATTAGACATCTACAGACAGAATAAGTTGATGAATGTCACAGGGAATATGGAAGCTCATGTACAAGTACAGGCCAATTAATAATGAAAGGTTTTTGCTGGAGGTATTGACAAACATAGTTGGGAAATTTGTAGTAATTAAGATCACTTAGAGATAAGATAATTCAGCAGCATGTGATGCCATCAGTGTTTAAGAGAGGTGATTCTATGAACATAACGTTTTTTTTTAACTTGGTCTTAATTTTAATAACCTAAATGATTATTTTCAAACAGATACAAATGCCTATGTGCATCATTCCTGACAAACTGAGGTTAGTGAAGTACCAATTCAGTAAACATCTTTTCCACATGAAAAATATAAAAAAAGCCTAATTCACTTATTTAGCTACTCTAAAGGGAAGTCTCCCATTTCACTCTTGCCTTTGAAGGCAGCACACTATCAGATACGTTAAATTGAACCCCACAGATAGCAGACTGCTTTGTTTTGTAAAGTACGAACTCATGAAAGGGCATCAGGTAAGGAGGGTAATCTTTGGATTAATTGTTAAAGATATCAAATGAGACTCTACATCACCTTTAAAAATACTACACCAATTAAGTAAGAATGTTCAAGACATTTAGTTTATTCAATGAATTTGAGTGTTTTTAGGAGTTAAAAGGATTTTAAGAAAACACGATAAACTGTAATGTTAAATTTTATGTAATCATTTTTCTAAATAAACTTCTTGTTCCCAAATAATTGTTAGACAATGCTTGGACATCCTAATTATGTTACAGTTTATATGGTGAAATTCCAAAATTATTTATTTAGATGAAGAAAGCAACAAAAAGAACTGTCTGTTTAGACAGCAATCAATATATACTCTTTTCTTTCCATTTTTCTTCATTAGAACTTTTGTTTGGGAGTGGATCTTGAACATTTTTTGCTACCTATGTTAAGCAATAATTCACAGGCACAGAAGTACTGACAATTACCTGGTGAAATCAGCTGATAAACACTCAGGAGGCAAATTACAGCTGGGAAAATTTAAAATCATAATTTACCGAAAGATTTCAAGGCCAAAACACTTCCCCGTCCCTTCAAATCAGCAGTTCTTTATATAAGGTGTTATATGTCCCCTGCCCTCCAAAGAAAAGGGGGAAAAAAAACCCCACCAAACCCAATCCAGCCTAAGAACCAACCAGCTTTAAGAAGATTCCGTATTACAAAAAATTGAAGCAGGTCACTTTGGTGGGGATTGTGATGTTGTCTGAAATGGGAAATGCACAGCTGCATCATTAAAACTGCAGCACAGCAGAAACACTACTTAAATATTTCTCAGGAAAAACAAATTACATACATTTGGCAACACAACCAAATCCTGTGAAACTATCAAGAATTTTGGACCTGGGGTACGTTGTAGGCTTTCTCTTGCTTCTTTTTCACCCAAGCCCTCAGGTTCTCTACACAACCTCCTGTCACTACAAGGCTGCCACACCTCTCACATGTCCTACAAAGGAGGCTGCAGGCCAGAACATGCAGATGTATTCTTGCTACTGTTGTTAATAGGAAAGGCAGTCGAGACCTGCCCCCTTTATCCCTTCCTTGCCTTTCTTTTCCTGGTTTTCCTATTCTGAAAAGTGTTGTCATCTGAGCAAAAAAAGGATAAAGCTCAGCTTCTGTCCTCTGCACTGCTGGAGCACAGAAGCCATGGAAGTGTGCTAGGTAGCTGGTGAAGGGAGAACTCAAGTCAGAGGCATGGCATGGCTGATACAGCACACAACAAGACTAGGCACAAAAAGAGGGGCGAGATATATCATGGACAGTGATGTAATGCTGTATCAACCCCTAATAATGCTGGTTTCAGGCAAAACGAGAAGTAGGATGCTACTAGACCATTTTTAACTCGCTCCTTGGCAAACAGTTCTTTCAACTATATTCACGAATGGAACTTCTGTGCCATAGAACAGAGGTAGTTCACAGTTTTCTCTATGTATTTGTCAAGTACAAGCTAATTCCCATGAGCCATTGTGCTACTGAAACCTGAAAAAAAATCAACTATTTGCTAATGGCACCATAAATTACCATGACTGCATATATCAGTCTCCAAAATCCCTGCATAAAATAACCTGCCTGTGCACACAGTGATAAATACTCACCTTGCAAGTTTTTTTATGCTCATTTAACAATCCTCAATAACTTTGTTTCATGTACCCTTACAAGAAAAAAAAGTCAGTTTTGTATACGCACACAAGAACAAGGTTCTGGTTGGTACTAGTCAAGTATCTGGGAAATAAAATCAGAGATAGACAGATAGATAGATAGAGACAGACAGATAGATATAAAAACTTATCTTCACATTGTCATTAGAGAATTGCACACTCAAAAGAAGTTAAGCACCTATCTTCTTTACTCCTAGGTTAAAGAGCAAAGTCTTAACCATTACAGATGGAAACTAGTTATTTTTTTTTCAATTCTTTCTTCCTGCAGCTCTAACCTGAGGAAAGTTTCAGCGCATTAGAATTTAAAGAGCAGAAGAACTCAGTGACTGGGAAGGAAGAATACCAGATAGGCTACTATCAGAGACGCACAGCTTTCCAATCCAGAAACAGATAGAGCACATGTAGCAAAAATAATAATAATAAAAAAAGAACAACAGGAACATTTACAAGTACAATTAAAAATTTATTTCTCTTTCTGCATTGAAGTGAGTACACGTTTACACACACTGTGACCAAAAAAATCCTCTGGATACTAATGAAGGTTGCAAGTGTATTTTCTTTTATAACCATCAAGAATATCAGCACGGAAACAGAAGAAAAGAAAAAACACATAACTTTGGATGGTATATCATCCAGCACTTCTGGTTTTACCCACCCCCAAAACCCCACTCACAGGACACTTCTGGCAAAAGTCCCTGAACACATCCTCTGTCCCCACCAAACATTCACTACATTTTAAAAAACAGGTTCATTGGCACTTAAATATGACTTCAGGAACATTTTGAAATACAGTGCATCCATGCTGCATGCATTTCACTTTGCTGTAAGACTTGGACATAAGGCAAATATCACCTTACCTCTCAAATACTCTGTGACTAGACAACCTTAGTATATACAACTCTGTTAAATGCAGAGATGCCTTGTTTCCCTTCACTGATTTTCCTTCTGATCAAGAAAGCAATTCAGGGAGATTGTGTGCTATACTCATCACAAATTGCAAGGTATTAAATTGTTAAAACAAACAGCAATGAATAAAAATAAACTGTATTTGCATATCCGAAACTTATTTCCGTCACTTAAATAATTTCATCTGCAATTACAAAATACATACACTTAAATATCTTTGTAAGAAACAATGATCTAAGATATCACAGATTATGATTTGCTTTTGACAATCTAACTGCCCTTACTCTGGCACAAAGATAAACCTGGACAGTGTTACTACCTAGAATATTCTCCTATTATAATTACTTTTCTTAAATATACAGTAAATTCGCTTTAACTATTCTGACAGATAGTGCAAATAAAGACATTCTTTGGGTCACAATTTTAAAATATTACCACCAATGCTATCCTCAATTTAACATTGTTTAGTAATTAAGTAACAAAATATTTTAAGTATACACATTTTCTAATATCTGCTTAACAACGCATTTTCTTCAGTTACCTCGGTTTAAATGCAGATCACAAAAAATTAATAAGCTACAACGCTTCTCACCTATCCAAAAGATATGTTATATTCATACTTAAATAAATATATTTATAAACCTACCTATAAGTTCCCCATTGCTTTCCACATAGTTTTATTATCCAATGGCATACTACATCAAATCATGATATCAAAATATCTTTAAAGACAACAAAGATCACTTCAGAAGTACTGCTCAAAGGCAATGAAACAATGCTTTGAGAACCTAAGCACATATGTTAGGCCTACACAGATCCAGCACATTGTATAATAGAATAGTTTATGCTTCTTTTAGAGTCAACTACTGCTTTGCCTTAGCCAGATATAAAAAGCTTATCTTAAATATTACCCGTTGCAGATGTAGCAACGCAAAGCGGCCCTGTTTGCTATCTAATGTTGCTGGCTGGTTTTACACGTTTATTTGAAGTTACTGGTGCCTGATGGCTAGTTCCATTAGTGGTATTTGTTGCTGAGCCATTCACAACAATGTAATCGACCTTGTTTTCCAATTTCACCAGGCGTTGTAAGATGTCATCCAGAAGAACAGCAATTGTTCTCTTAAGATCAGCTGAAGATAATGGAAAAAACAAAATAGAGACTGTTACTTACTATGTGTGGAAAAGAACTGCTATTTCAACATATTCACATCTTAAGACTTGCTATCCTCCCTACTGTATGCTTTGGAAAGGAATGCAAATTGATATACAAGTATAGCTGCTTGATTTTTCTTTAATACCATTTCTTTGTTACTTTATACCACCATAATAGGGAACTGTGAAGCAGCCAATTAAATATTTGAGTGTAAGAACAAAATCACTGGTTGGAGCATTAGAAGTGACTGTTCAGAGGCAGTATTTCAAAATTCATTCAGCCAACAGTACTAGAACACACAGCTATAACACCTCTTAGCCTTAGACAACAACATAATATATTTAAATACTTTCCAACATAAAAAGGTATTTAATAGTTTTCCCTAAATAACAGATCTAGCCCATAGAAAAACTGCATGACACGGTATCTTATCCCTTATTATTTAAGCTACAAAGTGGGGGAGGAGGATGAATCTATCCATTTATGCGTTTGCTGATTGAAAAACAAGATTTTTTTCTATTTAAGAGCAGTGTGTACTACTTTGAAAGAGAAAAAATGTAACTTTACAGCTTTCATTTAAAAAAGAAGATATTCAGATAACTAGTATAGCTTTTTTCCTCTTACCGTATCCTGCCATAGATGCTCCACCGCCACCATTCATTAAATTTTTATTTTCTTCTGCCAGTGCTTTGACATATCTTCTGCTGAGATCTAATATCTGTCCACGCAACTCAGCACTGCTTTGGCGTCTTGGATACTGAAAAGTGTAGCGTAGCAACATCAAACCCCAGATGATTCCAAAAACTAGTAAAAACATACTCAGTTTCTGGGACATATTTTTTCTTGAAAATGTTAGAAACATTTCTGATGAAGGCCACAGGCGTGTCTTAATTTCAAGAAAAGTAACTGAATTTGGCTTTGTCAAATTATATTACATATTAAACAAAAATAAGATTTCCATGAAGTGAAAAATCTTCTGGCTGGATCATCTCGAATACATCTCCTCATGTTTTAGTTGGTCTTGATTCCTGAAATTTGTAAAGTATCACCTGGTTATTCAAAATTGCTGCAGTTGTTGAGATCAAGAACAAGTATCAGTTCCTAAATAGAGTACTATATCATCATCTAGCAAACAATTGTGGATTTTTATCTACTTAGAGGTTCAATCATCTTTCTATCTCACCTGTTATTTACAGTGTTTCCTTCTCCTATTTTTACCAGTTTTTATTCTCCAAAAATTAAAACTTCTATGAATCACCTTAAGTATTTTAAATACTGTAATTTAAACTACCGTTAAACCCACATACGTGTTTTACACAAAATGCAGTATCTAGAAGAGACTTGTAAAGCATTCATAGACAACATTTTGATGAGTTATATACATACATCTACACACAAGAAAAAGATCTTGTAGAATGATTCACATGATTCTTATTTTTCACTTAAAAGCCCAGGGCAAGATTAAAAAGAAAACACGTAGCATAAAATTTCTTGGCTGGTTAGTTAGTTCAAAGTCTCCTCTTCTGGTTTTGTACACCATTAAGAGTTTTTGTTTGTTTTGGTGTTTTGCTACTGAACAAAGAAATAAAACCAAAATAAACTGGCATATTGCACCCACATTTAGCATTTTACTACAACTTGAAAAAATGTCTTACCATAGCAGCCAAATCTGATCCCTCAATAGATTTAAGACTTCAAGAGAGAAATAAGTGGTAGGAAAGCTTCAGCAGTTGAACAACAAATGTCCAGACAGTTTGAAGCAGTATGAGCCACACATCTTCAGGGAGCTCTGCAACAGGGGAAAAAAAAAAGATTTAAACAAAACAAAGTGAACAGACCTTCATTTTCTCGTGGAGTGGTTGAAGTTGAGGGATTCAAGCCACATGTGTTTAAAATACATTTTTAAACCTAACTTGAAGCAATTGTTAGGGAAGAACAGAGAATTCATTTCCATTTTACTATAAATGCATACATTTAAATGCCCAGTAACTGACTACAACACAGTTTTAAAAGAAAACTTGGTAAGAATCTCACTCAATATTTCTCTCTTCTTCTGTTATAAGACAGTGACAGCAGATGGTCCAGATTCATCATATATGTACATGCACATGTATTTACATATGCACCGTTCTCTTCTTAATTTTTACTCCTCAAACACATCCCACCTTTTCAGTCTCTTTACATGCATATACCTTTCTCATTTTTTACCCATCTCTGAAACGACTCCAATTATTTAATACTTTCTTGAATGACAGTTTCTACCATTTAACATAGTCTGGATAAGGCTACTCATTTTACATAATAGTTATGTTTTTCCCTGTTACTCCCTGTTCTTCCCCTATGTATTACCTGTCATGAGCACTTTTTAGACTGAAGTTACACATTGAATAGAGCTCCTCACCACACTTTCTATAGTGGTACTTAGGTCTCTGTTTTTATCAGAATATTGAGACTGAACTCCTCATGCTGCTGAGCTCTCCTCTAAACAGCTCCGCCTCCAAAGCATTTTTCATCTCCTCCACTGACTCATTCAAGCAGCCTTATGCCAACACACCACGGTCTGCTGCAAACACAAGTGTCACTGCCAGCAGGGCTTGTCGCTTACCCCTCACCTTCACTATTCGGATAATCCTCTCAACAGGCAGACCAACGTGCCTGATTCAAGTGGCAAATTTTTGAAGTGCTCTAAAATCAACATGTGTATCTGAACTATTCTGAAAATTATTAACCCCAGGCAGGGGCAACATTAGGACTTTGACACCAAAGCTGCTGTAAAGTAACAAGCTCCTGCGTGTAAAATGCCCTATAGGAAGTGACAGTATATAAACCCTTACTTTTACTGTTGGGTGCACTAGTGCAAGTGACAATCATAAATCACTGAATGAGGAATAGCTCACTTCACCTCCACTGTGGGATACGACCATGCACATGGACAGACAGCCAACAAACAATGATTTGAATTCCCACTGTAAATTCAGTGGGATGTACTTTCTCCAAGGAACATGCTTATCCCCCAAAAAACAGTTTTAAGAGAAAAATTTGTCTTAAGTACAAAAAAATAAGAGAGAAAACAATAAAACTTACATTCTACAGCATGAATATTTGGAATTGTGTGGTTTAAGATTTCCTGAAACAGATCCTCCCTAAACACGCACTTTTCCCTAGCTCTCTGCCAAATCCATGGCTCTGCACTCAGACTTTAAAGCATAAACTGCACCCACATCATTATGCATCTACATAATCTACAGTATCAAATATGATGGAAAATATTTACATATGAGGTCCAGGAGTAGGGCATTCACATGATGGCTCAGAAGACTAAACAGTATTTCCCAAGAAGAGAACACAAGTTTCCACTCTCATTCCAAGAATTCTATTAATCAAAATAATAATAATAGTAATAAAGACTGAAAATAACATAGTTCTTGCAAAATTTAAATTAAGTTCAGCTCTCCACAGATCCCTAGCCATATCTCGTCCTGAAGCATTTAGACAATATCACTACAGCGCTTTGGAGTGGAAATAATTCTGCCACCACAACGTAAATAAGACCACAAAGCCAGGATAAGAGGTCTAGCCAAGAGGAACAGATTGAATAAACTCCTGCCAAGAAGCAGCAGTAATTGCAGGTTGGGCCTTTGCCTTGTGTATTTGATTCACAGTGCACAAAAACTACTGAAATCAACGGAAATCAAGGACTCAACCTGCTGGGAAAATGGCATAATACCCAAATACTGACCCTGGGCAAAGGAACTGGGAGCAAGGTGTACCAAAATGAAGGCATCTGTACTTTTCCTAAGCATTTTTAAAGGCCGTTCCCCCATAATGAATCCCACTGTAATTTCGAAGTTCTGTGAGATCTGGTCTTCTCTTTCCCCCTGAAGCACACACTTCTAGTGACCCCTAACACACTCCATGCACAACCCTTACAAGATTACACAGTATGAAGCAACAAAAAAATAAAAGTAAGCTTATACCCACATGATTTCAAAGTAGGAAAAAAAAAAGAGTATTGGAGCAGCAGGTGTACATATTAGGAAGAAAAGAGCACAACAAGTAAGACGAATGGACTGGAATATTCTTTTACTTCTTGTTGCCCTGAAGGGTCAGCACTTTTCTACCTGAACATTACAGTTTAAAACAAACCCTGTCCTCAGAATGGACCTCTGTTTTCAGTAGTTCAGAGGTAGTATCCCATGAGATAACAGCACACATGTAAGAAGAAACATTGCCTCTTGTCATCTTTCTTCTCCCTCGTTCTCTCAAATCCTTCTTAACCACCACTCCTTGAGCAGGGGAAAAGGGAAGTCGAGACTTCCTTCTTCGCACTGACTTATCCCAGATAGGAACACAGGCTCACTACTCTCCCAACCACAGCTGAGCGGCTTTTATGGCAAAGGCAGTCAAAGGACTGCAGAGAGCAACAGCGAAAAAGGGTGCCTCAGAGCTACGCCTTGTTGGAATTCCTACCATCCCTAACCATGGAGACTGAGACAAAAGGAAGACAACTATGACGATAAAGGAGTACAACCAGGACAAAATTTGAAAATCTGAGGAGGGAAAGAAAAGAAACAAGACCCCAAACTAACAAACCCAAAACAAAACAAAAAATTCAAACAAACAAACCCAAATCAAACAAAACCTCTGAGCTGACTGTGCAAGCAAAATGGCAATCCAAAAATCCATGAAGAAGAGAATATCTTTCAGATAATCCTTTCAATAAGCAGCCTGAAGTGACGGATTAAAGTGGCAATTTTCCAAAGTTCTTTAAAATCAGCATGCATATCTAAATTATTCTGAAAACTACAAACCCAGGCCAGAGGCACCATTAGAACCTGGAGTTAACACCAATTTCTGAATGACGATTTGACACTAAGTTTGCCTTTCACACACATATAAAGAGTCTGGTTTTCTTCACTGTTGCCACAGTTAGTTGTCTCAGAAATGTATTGCCAAAACCTACCAATGTGGATTCAACTTTGTCCACTGGTATCACAATACTAGCAATGAAAGCAATGAAGTAAGGCACTCATTCCCTCCAAAATAAAATCGCTCTATCCTGTGAGCTGTATTTCAATATCAGTCATATACAAATTATATTACAGAGTGCATGAAATAAAATGAACAAAGGCAAAAGAAAAAGCAATGGAAAAATCTATTATATGTTCCATAATAAAGCAACATTCTAGTACCTACTAGATGCTACTTAACTAAACAGTAGCATCAGACTTCAGTTTGAATGCTGACTCTTCTCCACAGGAACCAGTCCATACTTACAAAACATCCTCCTTGAATTTTGTTGCAAAGTCTTCCTCAGATTCTGCTTTACTTATTTCCAGAAAGACCCAGGGAATATATTAATGTACCACACAGAAATGAATAGACTGTAAGGCAAAGGAATGCCTCATATGTCCTCTGAAACAATTTCAGGTTATCAGGAAAACAAGGCATACCCAAATCCTTAAAAGGTTACAACACACCTTACAGCACTGTCAGTTCTGCTAGTTTGGTCTTTCTTTAGTCATCATTTTTATAATCTGAGAAACTCCAGTCTCCCTAAACAACTCAGCAGGGTAAATTTCAACCTATCCTGCAGCGATGGTGTGTACTTTCTAGTTTTGAAAAATGTACAGGGCAGATGAAGAAAATTATTTGTAAGAGAAAAAGAAAGCAGTTGGTACAACAGGTATTTTTGGTTGTTATGAATAAGCAGCTTTAGCAAAAAAACTAACAAAACAGAGTCAACACGATGTAAAGAATCCAGAAAACTGAAGCCTGAAAATCTCACTTCATTCAAAGATCAAAAATACTTTTAAGGATAAAGCCGAGAAAAATGCAGTGAAAGTATTATTGTTAGCATCCAGTCCAAAAAAGTCACCTCTTTGGTTACATATTTTGAAAGATAGAATGCCAACTACCGAGGCAATAGTTCTTCAGTGATACTCTGGAGACCTAGACAGGTCTCTAATGAACTAATATACTAAGAAAGTAGGCTTGAAAAATGCGAATTTTACTCAGTGTATTACTTAGTACCATAATATTTATCTGTTCCTCACTGCCAAATTATCATGAACAACAACATGACACTGTGAATTCAAGAGCAAGTCTGGCTTTGCGACCAGTTATTATTATTAACTGTATAAACACAAGACGTGATTTATCAAGATAGAGATTTAAAAAAAAAAAAAAGTCAGTTGTAGGAGAGTGCATCCAACTACAGAGGAAGAGGAAAAAAATCTTGTAATAGAACAAGCAGCAGACAGAAATTAGGACAGTACAAATAAAAGCTGACATTAATAATTACTATAAAATAATTGTACAGTACAAAATTAGAATTTATTAAAATCTCAATGGGAACACAAAACATTTATGAAATTAATAATGATTTAAAATTAACATACTAAAATTACATTTATGCAAGAAATTACTATTAAATTCATGGTAATAAACATCCCTGGGTACAGAAAGGGTACTGTATCAGTAAACAATAAGCTGTGCTGTAAATAGATAGGATGATACCTCACCGCCAATGAACATTCCAGGAAGACAAAAATCACAGGGCATTACAGAACACTAGAAAAAAAATTCCTTAGTTCTACCAAATGTGGAGTATTTGCAGGAAAATGGAGGCCTGGTGAACAACCCATATTACCAGCTGTGACAGAAGCCTCAGGCTTCCCATGGGAAGAACACTTGGTTTACAGTTGGCAGTTGTAAACTTAGGCTAACTTCCCATGAGAATGGAATTAGTTTATAGTTAGCTTGAACAGACTTCCCATGAGAATAGAATTAGTTTACAATCAACAACTATTCCATGTTATGAGAACCTACGGTGGGAGGTGGTATCCAGGTGCAAAAACATCGAACCTGCATCTTGTCCAATGAACATGAGACACGGACTCGTGGACAGACTGAGTTATCCAATTCCCAGACTTTAACCCTGCACCGTCGATGGTACAAAAATGTATAAAATGTGTGCTGTGTGTCTTAATAAACAATTCATTGCTTAATCATATTGGTTGTCATGATGGATCCGTGTTCTTGCCGCCAATAACCAAATTCTATTCTACTTTTTTTTTTTTTTTTTTTTGCATATACTGAGAGTGTGCTTGCGCTGGCCCATTAACCTCTGGGAACTCCAAAGTATTTTGTTGCCTGATTTTCCAACAGAAAATTTTGAGCATCACTCAGTTGACTGGTAACAATCGCACTGACCATTCTGAGAGCAGACAGGTTGGTTCCATGTTATTTGGAAAACTAACAGCAGAGTTCCTGTGCAGCAATGAAAATGGGAAGTCTAAAGAAGTCTAAAGAAGAATGGGAAGTCTAAAGAAGACTTACACACACAAAAAAAGCATAGAATGTATTTACTGGCCAATTAATCCCAGAAGACTGGAACAAGGAAATAAGCACCTAGAAGCCCAGGAGCTTATGTGTTGAGACTTTTTGGAATGCCAAAAATGATGTTTCCTTTCTGGTGATTTGCAGTGTTAGACGGCTGTTGGTTCGGCAGTAGAAGAAAAATCTGCATGAAGTGCAGCTGACAAACAGGTTCTCAACTTAAGTGTTTATTGTAAAACAACACCCTGATTCCTGGTAATACACAGAAACTACAGTTCTCTGTTCCCACACATAGCACAAACATCATTTAATAAATCATTGTACCTACGTCATTCATATTTAAAATTGGTGCACAAGGAAGAATCACATTCCTCATATTTTTAAGGGCACATTAGTTCTAGAGAGGATGCCATTAAAACCACTGTCCTGAACTGGCACATCCGTACTGGAGACTTTTGCAGACCAACACTGCCCAGGTTCATTAATCACTGAGGTTCACTGAGCTGTATTGCACCACAAAAGAGCAAGAAGAAACAATTAACAGCAATGCCTGTCCCCAGACAAGTGAAACATGTTTGAGCTGTCTTTTGACAAAATCAGCTCTCACTCAGCATGTTAAGTACTCCTATTATTTGTTGATGTAAAACTTGGTCAACAGAAAAATGTCAAAGCAGAGAGGGAAAAG